TTTTTATTTGCTGCCTACTATAATTTTTCAAGGCAGAATATGGTGCGACCAGCAGGGTATGTAAACGCAACAGCAACGATGCTATTTGCAAAACTTAGGACTGCAAGTGTCTGCGGTGGGGAACGAACACACTATTAGCCTTCCCATGGGCTAACACGTTCGCCACCAAACCATGCGGATCATTTCTTTCGTATGTCTACCAGAAAGGTTGTATTTTGAATCATACCGTGCCGTGAAAAATTATAGTAGGCAGCAAATAAAAAGTTAACATTGTGATTTCAAGTACAACATCACCTTAATTGGGTTCATTGCGGATTTGAGCTTCCCAGATCAATCCCGTGAACGGGTGATTACTAGTGGCACTGATCGATGGAACTAGCTGAGAGACAGGCGAAACAAAGGGCCCGCATGGTGTGGTGGTGGATGCTTCAACCTCCGAGAAGGGTAATAGCGCATTCGTTCTTCACCACAGACCCCTGGTGTCTGGAGTTTTGCAAATACCTCAGCAATATTGTGGCTGTATTATTATTATTATTATTACTATTATTATTATTATTATTATTATTATTATTATTAATAGAACAACAGAACAAAGATTAAAGCTCAAAAAGCGCAACCCATTCTGTGCGTTGGAGTGGAAGTCAGAGAATTTCGCAGAATTATGTCTTGAAAGAGATATTGCCTGTAGTTTTAACAGTACAGGCAATCCCTACAAAGTAATTTACCAATAATTTCCTGCATGATTGAGTTGAAACGAGGTTGCTATAAAAACTTTTATTCGGCTCCTTCGCTTTAGCGAGATTTGATGAAAATTGGTACTTATGATGGTGCGGCTCTACGGGCCACCAGATGACGTACTGACTCTTGCAGGAAACACTGCGCGCCAAAAAGCAGATCATACTAGGAGGTGACAATAGATCAACGTTCCTCCATCATAAAAGAGCACCGCGGATTGAAGTTACCCACTCAAGCGGTGCATGCTCCACTGGAGTCGAGTAAAATTAAATTCGTCTAGAAAATTATTGACTTCAATGAAACTCGGTTCTTAAGGGAAACGTGCTGGTGTACGCACAACTCGCAAAACGAACTTTCCAAGGATCCAGGTGTCCAAGTATTTTTCCATTTCTCTGTTTTACTGAGTCATAGAAGCAAGTTATTTATAAAGTTTGACGTATTCTCGAAAATATCGTCCTCTCCATTTTATTTTTCCTCCACATGTACCTGAAAAGTGTTGTAAATTTTTCATCATACCTATCACTAATTTTTAGGAAAGAAGTCTTAGAGAAACAAAGAATCACATGCTAGAATTACTGCAACTCGTGACTTGTGATGATAGAAGATATCGCCCGCACTGATTTTCTTCTAGGTCAAAGCGATCTGGAATTTTTTATGGGACACCTAGCAATGAGCTGGGCGATTTTCTGAGAAAAAGGAAACGTTAGTAAGAAGCTGAAGGATTTCCGAGGATAAAAGAAAAATGGTTGCTCGTTAGTTACCGTTTGTCACATATGTCCGATAAAATTAAACGCTTTTTAAGAGGACGACTTCTACGTCAATCAGAACGGTGTGGTATCGTATCCGTGCTTTCACATAAGTCTTCGCTTTGTCATAAAGACCAAATGCTTCCTTAACGACAAGCTTTATTAACTCACAATATTTGTCCTGCGTTGTGACATACAACCTTGTGGGCCATGTTTTTGCAAAGATTGAGGCTTTATCAGCGCCCGTCAACAGACTACGTCTCTTTTTTTGTTTCTTTGGGTGTTGTTCATTTATTCATCCATTTATTTCGTCCGTTAATTTCTTCCTTTCTTCCTTCCTTCGTTCCTTTCCCCCTTCCTTCCTTCATTCACTCATCCATTCATTAATACGTTCATCCATTCGTTCGTTCGTTCGGTCACTGTGGAGACCGGACGTTATGCAGCTGCTGACGTCTCTATAAGTGAATTGATTTTAAACCAAGTTAGAGCACTCGTGCTCTCTCACCCTCTTACACACACCCATTTCTGGCACTCATGTTGCTCAACTGCTTCATCCATGTTTACACTCATTTTGATTTGCTCGTCTTCGTTATATTTTTTGTTGGCAGTGCGTGAAGTTCGTCTACGATGTCATTCTCGTAGCTGAAGAAAAAACTAGCATTGTTATTGCGGCTCGGCAAAATCTTGTTCTTATAATAGCTGTAATTTAAAGTAGCAATTGAACATATAGACAGAATGCTCCGTGGTTACCTCTCGTATCTAAAGAGCCCGGAATGTTGTCGAGAACACTTTCTTACGGTAAGCTTGCTGTGGATCCAGACACTTTTCACGATAGTTACGACTGTTTACACATTTTTTGTGCATCCTTCGCTGTTCTAACTACGGTTTAGTTCATTTCGATGGTTTTGATTTGTTAAAACGTCATGGTTTCATTCATTCCGATTTTTCCATTTTGTTACAACATCTTTATTTGAATAACTCAAAAGACCAGCGGCGTAGAAAATGGGTCTTTTGCCGCATTAAGACGATTTTTTGTCCTCACGATGACACGTTCCTAACAAGTCAGAAATTTTTTGCTGGAACATTTCTTAATAACTCAAAAGATTAAAGTATTTTGTATAAAAAACGTACAGGAAGGCGAAATCGCCGAAACGTCAGCCATCGAACAAAAAGAACAACAGCAACAACAACAACAACGACAGTGAGAACGAAGACCTGTACCAACCTCGCATCAGCTAAAGAAGATCAATTTATAAGATCATATAAATAAATATATTTTTATTTGATATGGTTTAAAATTGAAAATCTGCCTTAGGTTCCACTTTAGAGCTCTTTCCTGAATGTAGAGGTTATTCATTAAATTGGAAACCATCTCTGATGTTATCTTTCTGAAGTGGATCGTCAGTTACTTACTTCGATATTTAGAGGGCCCGTTTTCACTGGCACTACGTGCTCCATCATAATCTCCATTCTTCAGAGATATTCTGGTTAGCCGCTGTGGTGAGTCCAGGACAGCCCGGTCAAAGTCTGCCACAGGATCATCAATCGCTAGTCATAATTTCAAGCCTGGTTTCTACTTTATATTTTAGTGCTTGCTCAGTACTTGATCTATAACTGTTAACCACACGATTCTAAATAATGATAAATTCCCATTCCTTTTTTTGATTTTGCTCGTTCGCCGTTGATAGTGGAGTTGAGATTGATGGAGTTCACAGTTCAAGCTTTTTAACCCATCGTTTGCTCCGTCATGGAGTAAAAATAAAAAAGTCAATAGGCATATTGTAAGTAAGTAGATGATACCTTTTATGGATTGTCCATTGTTTTTTGACAACACAATCCACTCAGCGTTTCTGAACCAGGGCAGGGTCGGATATCCATCAGTCACTGTCGAATGCCATTGCTGATTAGAAAAGTGGAGACCCCGCCTTCGAAGGATGGCGATAGGGGTCCAGTTGCTTTGGGCATTTGCCAGAGCTTTTCTTGACTACCCGGTACATTTCGATAAGCTCTATTCAATAATGTAAAAATTTCAACCACGGCGAACGGTGAACGACCCTACACCGTACATCTCTCGGTCATTGCTTTTGGGTGTCTAAACGCGTTCTCGGTTCTCTCATACTGTTTGTCTTCGGTCGAGTCATTCTTCTCACATCGTATTTTCACTACATTCTTTCCAATATTATCAGTCTGATATGTTTGACTCATTTCCCATTTTCACTTGGATTCTCTCGCTATAGAGATATCTGTTCTTCGTGAAGCCTTTTTTTATTTACTGGTTATTTTTTTATGGTAGAGCGTTTTCTGAAGTATAACCACAAGGAGAGATGTTTGCAGAACGCAGACCAAACGCCAGGTGTGAACCCGCCATTACCCTTTCAGAGAGCTCACATGTTACCCACTACACCACTGAAGCCCTTGCTTTGCTTTTCTCTTAACCAGTTTTTAGTCTTAACAAAGCATTCTTGTGGTTGCATCTACTCTTTATTCTTCTACTTATTTGCTTGATTATATTCTACTTACGAAGACATTCAGTTGGAGGCAATAAGATGAACAGTTGATTGAAATATCTGCAGCATCAAGCACATAAAATAGCATTAGTTTTATCTAAGCTGCTTTTTTCTGACTTTTTTTTGCCACAGTAATTAGTAGAAGTGCAAAATGGGATTCCCAGGAAGGGTTCTGTGTGGGTCCTGACGTACTGTGTATTGGTGTTCCCTAGTGATCATTCGGTTTTCCACGTCAGTGGCATGCCTCTCATTTTGTCTATACGGGTTCATGTTTGGCTCACCAACAACTCGGAATTCGTCCACGGAGAAGGGGTTCAGCAGCGAATGATTCACTAAGACGTTCCGATTGCCCGTTCAGTGCTCCCACTTATTTTCCACAACCATCTTTTCGCATTGGAAGAACGTTTGGAAGCGATCTATACCACCTGATTGGAGGATATTCCCTTCAAATGGTCAGAAATGAAGCATGGCTTTCTTTTGTGTGACAGTGAAGCTCTGGATGTTTGTTTTTTCCCTATGTACCTAATTATGTCATTAAATGCTCTTATATATGCTTAGGTGTCCATTTACTGTTTATTCAATTTAATTTCTTTCTACCTTCGAATCCCATCCAGCCAGATTTGAAAGCGATTTAATTCTCCAGGAGTGCGAAAAGGAAGAGCTGAATATGCCAGCGCCTAAGCATGCTAAAACAGGATAATGGAAAGCTCTGTTGACGCAGTACGCGAGATCAAACCAGCGATTATATATGTATTGCTGGGTACAACTAAGCATTGGCTACTTTCTTCCAAACTTTTTCAATGAACTGGGCGTTCAGTAAGATAAAAAAAACTTGGCACATCACCAACTATTTCTCCCATTGTCTGCAATGCTGCGTCATTGAAGTCATTAGCGTTTTTGAATTCACTTGTGTTATTAACATATGTTCTCGATTAATCGGTCTCGATTTATTCGAGATTCGACGAATATGCGTTCACTTGTACCTACAAGTACTTAGTATCGAATTTTCAGGATGCACTTGCTAGTAGCATCATTACTGAGCGTTGGAGTCAGTAGTGTGTTCGGAATTCAGTGCTACATCTGTAATTCCATTTCTCATCCCGATTGTGTGGACAACTTTGAGCAATTCTTAAGGGTAAATAGTTTTCTTTTTCGTTTTTTAATCTCTATGGAGGTGCTTTTCAGTGTGCACAGTAACCAATTGTCAATCTCTCTTTCTCCCTTTCCTTCCCTCCTTTTCTCGTCGTCTTTCTTTTTGCATCCTGAGTTTAACCAGTTCTTGGGAAATCTCAGTTTGAGTTATAGAATTTGATCGAATGTTTAATGATCTCAAAGCGGTTCTGCTTGGACAACATTTCTCCTTGATTCATAGAAATCATGGGCTGTAGATGTTTCGTGCATCTAACTTTTCTTTTCTGAAAGCATAAATGCTGTCAGTGTCAGTCAGTTTGGGTAGCACTATTTGCTGTCGCAAAGTGCGATTTAAGTATAAATCACCGCCTTAGTGGCATATCCTTCACTGAAAGCAGAAAAGCTGAGAGAAAAACCATCGCCTATTAAGGGGCGCGTGCGGCGCAGCGGTCGGAGGTGCCCTGCAACACACACGTGGAATCGGCCTCCGCGAACATGGCCCACCAAGCCCTCCATCCCTCCGGAGTCGGCAAATTGGTACCAAACTTGTCTAGGAGGATAGCAGCACTAGGTCGATATATCTTAGTGAAGTCAGATGCATGGAGCATCTCTCAAGTATTGATCAACGTCGAGAATTTTGTTCCTTTATCCTTTTATTAGTATTCCTTTCACATCTTTTTTTCATTTTTACTGTTTTTTTTCCTCTTTCATACGAAATTGTTTCCAGAATTGTCCCGTTAAGTCGTTCGGCGGACGTAAAGCTGTTCCACCAATTGGTTGTCGGAAATATAGTCAAACTGCAAACCGTGAGTGTTGAGAGCTGTCCGATATCGTTTTTGTTCTAATCGCCGTGCTATTAACTTCTGGCGATGTGATAAAAACGAAAATGGCCGGAAAACCTGTCGAACTTCTCGAAAGACGAAGTCGATAGGTGATATAAGGCCCGTCAAATCTCTTAAGCTACATCAGCCCTACGCTGACAGTGGCTAGTTAGGGCAACGCGTTTTCGCCTTAGCTCAGCTCGATCGTGAACTGTACTGGTGCAGCGTTTCATACGTCGAAAGTTACATGGCTAAGGAAGCTTGGAGGCTTAGCACATATCAGTTATAAAGTGGAAAGTGACGATAAAATCATTGTAAAGCTATGAAGGATAAACAATGACAGAGAACGACACAATAAGTTGGGAAGTTAGTACAAGCTTAGTTTCTGACATGAAAAAACTTATTGAGCAAAAGATTTGTCCCGGGAAAAGCCCTGACGTAATAAATTTGATGGCCGGCCAATAATCTTTAGCATGTTCAGATTCCGAACTCTTTAACCGTCTTTAAGCCGTTAATTCGACTTGTTGTCTCATTCTTCTTAACAAGTTTCGTTGTAATGTTAACTGATCGATTAAATGCGTTCTCTTTCTTGATTTCTCACCCCGCCCCATTTATCACCTTATAAATAGCACTGATCTTTGCGTGCACGCAATAAGCAGATGAAAAAGCTTATAGTAATAATAGAGACGAGATACTGTGCGATTCTTCAGCAACATAAGGCTGACCACTGGAAACCAATCAATAAGGAAAATAGTGTTTCCCAGCTATCCTGAATTTCGGATATCTGATGGAGCGGCTTTTTACGGTCTTTCTTACACAGCAACCGGTACTGTTTGTAAAGATTTGTCATGAATTTACTATATGAATGTTTCGGCTAAAATAATGGCCACATATAGATGAGGTATAAGTGAAAACTGTTTGCGAAGTCTTAGCAATGCGCTATCCTTTTGCCCTTTCCAGCGCAAAAGTGGTTTCCAGCTTAGCCATAGCCAGTAATCAAATTCCGTCGACTTGTGTCGGAGCGGTTTCTCGGCTGTTTGCACATGAAGATTACACTTAAATATTTAGAGTGCAGTCATTACAGATAGTGTTTACCCCAACGTATCGCTCATCGTTTGTTTCCTTTGGAATTACCTTCAGTCAAGAGGTGATTGGATTCCCATGTGAGTGTGCTGCCATCTTACTTGGGTACTTACTTGCATGGCCCGTCCTCACTGGTCGTGCGACTCCCAGCATAACCTCCTTCGGAGTTTTGCTGGCTTAGCCATTGTGGTTCCCAGGATTCCCGAGGTCGGCCAGACCAAAGTTTGCCTCTGGTCTTCACCACCACAAGCAGTCGTACTCCTCGTGGATCAGAGAGAGATTTGCCACCATGCGACTAGTTTGTTATCAGGATGGTGATGGATTCTGGTATTAGGTTACTCTTAGCTGACTTCGTCATTAATGAAAACGCTGGACTCCTTCTCAACTTGGGAGGCTCTGCCAGGCGGGCAACTGCCCCTCTGTACATCGCAACCCGGCTCCCAAGAACATCTGCCAGCCACACTAAGGCGGTAAACCGTTGAGAGAATGGTACTATCACAAGGATTAAATATAACTTCAATGATGCTGAGATATTTGCAAAACTTCGGATCGCAGGTGTACGCGGTGGGGAACGAACGCGCTATTGTCCTTTCCGGGGAGTAGCGCGTTCACCACCACACCATGCGGGTCCTTCGTTTCGTCTGTCTCTCAACTAGTTCTAGCGATCTTTTTGCCATCAGCAATCACCCGTCAGTGGGATCGATCTGGGGGCCTAAATCGGCAACGAACCCAGTTAAGCTGAGGCCGCAGTTATAATCATAATTTTAACTTATTATTTACTGCCTACTCTTTTTAACGGCAGGGTATACATTGTGAAACATATAGGGTTCGTTGCCGATTTGGGCTCCCCACATCAATCCCGCTGATGGGTGATTGCTGATGGCAAAAGATCGATAGAACTAGCTGAGAGACAGGCGAAACGAAGGACCCACATGGTGTGGTAGTGAACGCGATACTCCCCGGAAAGGACAATAACGCGTTCGTTCCCCACCGCGTACACCTGCGATCCGGAGTTTTGCAAATATCTCAGCATCATTGAAGTTATATTTCACAATGTATACCCTGCCGTTAAAAAGAGTAGGCAGTAAATAATAAGTTAAAATTGGGATTATATGATATTTGGAAGAGGACACTATCAAGTTGTAGTAAACTGCTGCAAGAGCTATTTGCATATTTCTTTGTGGATTTTGTTGGTAGATCGTCATAAGCATCCGTATTTTTCCTTTTAAAGCAACGAAAGAAGTCAGTAGCTTTTCTGACTATTCGCTTTGACTCATATAACGGGGAAACTATTTCATCTAACCCAGAGCGTAACATTATTTCGGAAATTGACTTTTCTTTAACCTCGGTGTGACTAGTCGACATGTACGCTTTGATAAGCTAACATGAGGTTGATAAACAATTTCACTCGGTTTGATCGAGAGTATGAGCGATTGCGGACATCGACTTGGATCATCGGCTCTAGGGAAGACGAAGACATTGACGCATTAGCCAAATGAAACTGTTTATTAACTTAGTGCTAGCTTATCAGTGACAGAATACAGCACTCATCTGCAGTCCTCCAATTGCGAGTGTTCTGACCGTAGATCATTTTTAATGGAACATACTATTGACGAAAATCGTCCTCCTGGCTTTCTTCATCACATGACCTTATTTTTCTCCAACTTTACCTGAAGCGAATCCTTGACCCAACACGACACTGCTGATGAAGTCCCATGAGTGATAGCATTTTCCAACCTAGGGCGCGTGTGGCGCAGTGGTTGAAGGCGCCACTGCGACATTCCATAGCCCATCAAGCCCTCCATCCTTCCGGGGTCGGCAAATTGGTACCAAACCTGTCTGAGAGGATAGCAGCACTGGCTTGATACATCGGTAGGCCACCGCGAGTTATTGTAAAGACCAGATGTGCATTCAATCGCTTCCAATAATGCTTAACAAAGTAAAATGCATGGCGCAATCCCTTAGGGATTGATTAACGCCGAGAGCTTTATCCTTTTTATGCTTTAATCTCCAACCGAAATGGCACAGTTATCACCCTTCTGAAAAAACCTGGCTGATGGCACTTATATATTGTACCTCTCCAAATCATTGAGCTCCAAATCATAACCATGTATACCTTATTCTTGTGGAAATGTCAGAAATGGTTTTTTCCTTCCTCAACGCATCTTCTTTTCTCTCTTCGTACAATTTCCGACGTTTTTTCTTACAAGACCGGGTTTCCATTAACTTACCAGTGATCGAATAATTCTTTATATTTCTGTTTAGCAAACGCGAGGTATTACTTTTTATTTATTTATGTACTTATTTACGTACAAGCTGACGTTTCGGCGGAATTCGCTTTCCTCAGAGCCGCTTCCTGTGAGTCTTCCACTGAACATCTCACGTGGGAACCAACCGCACAAACTTCACATAAAATCGCAGTGTCATTTTTATCTCATCTTATCTTTTCCTTTTCATCTTCTTATCTTATTTCTTTATTAAATTTTGTTTTATCTGCCCTTCGATGTTCTCGAAGTGCTCACTGTCTCACCCCATTTTATTAAAGGTGCATAATCACTCTGTGTACTTTTTACTGATAACAAATGCTTGCAAGTTCAATTTGATTAAAAGGAGACAACATCTGAGCAAATTCCATCAAAAAACGCATGTAATTGTGTTTATAGAGAATTTCCTTCTTGAAAAGTTCTCTATCTATCTAAACAATAGTATTTGAATCTTAACCTTTTTATTTACTGCCTATTCTTCTTAACGGCAGGGTATGTTGCGAAATGTAACTTCTATAATGCTGAGATATTTGCAAAACTCCGGACCGCGGGTGTCTGCGGTAGAGAACGAACGCGCTATTGTCCTTTCCAGGGAGTAACGCTTTCACCACCACACTATGCTGGATTCACCAGATCAATCCCGTTGACAGGTGATCTCTAACGGCAAGTGATCGATAGAACTAGGTGAGAGACAGGCAAAACGAAAGACCCGGTCCGATTTCCACTGTCAAATCAGATGACACAGAAGACAAATGTTATGGATGCATAATCACATGCTTAGCAACACGTCTAATTCATCTGGATGTTGTGTCAGATCTTTCCACCACGGCATTCATAATGGTGTTACGCCGTTTTTTTTTGCAAAACGGTGGACTCCGAAATCTATTATTAGTGGCAGCGCTTCAACGTTTGTACTCGGAAAAACAATTCTTATCGAAGGATGATTACTGAGGATGAATGAGAATGGTTGGGAATGAGTTGATGTGAGGAGCGGATTATCGGTGCTACCGATCGGAGGTAAGGTGAGTGATGGCATATCTCCACTGTCGAAGGCACCTTACTTATATTGTGGGGGCCGCGTGCGTATGCAACCGCGACCGATCTGGATTGTTGAGCTTGGATTGCAATAGACTTTACTTAACTGCCTGAAACATCAAACGTCATTGGCTTCGTTGGACATGGTATAGACATGAGATACTATTGTTTAGATAGAGAACTTTTCAAGAGGGAAGTCCTCTATACACCCGCCCGACTTATTTAGGGGCCGTGACCCAGATACTTTTATTTTGTTACTTTTCTGCCAAAAGGATCTTGCAATATGAAATAAGTTCGAGAGGTGGCTGAAAAAACGAAAAGATAAAACGCAGAGAAAAAAAACATCAAATAATATGTGATCTACTACATCTACCTTGATAATTGGTCGATTTATCGACAGTGTTACACATTCTAGTGGTTGGTAGAATGAAACTCGCCAGCGAATCGTCTCGAAGTGTCAATCGCGCACAGGATATATCTGTCATATCTGAGATGTATCTGCCAGCCTTTTCGAATGATAATAAGATCCCTCGTTCAATTTGAGCCCTGCGCAATATTTGCTGATAGGAGACTATACTATTGCGATTAATGGTGATGTGGCACGAAATCAGATGTCGAAGAGATTTTACCTCTTGTCTGGCAGATACGCTTGATCTCCACATAGGTGGTGTCGTTTAGGAATATGTGTGGCGGACGTAGTTCTCAAAAGAAACGCTTCAATTTCAGGTGACAATGTTCGCTAGGAAACACTGAGCAAATTTACGTGAAACTAATCCCCTTGTTCTTTCGACCAGTTGTTTCAATTTTCCTGGACCTGTTTTCACGGATCTATTTTTAGTCATTGTTCCATTAAGTTTTTCATAGTAGGTTTATGTGAAGACGTTTTACATAGAAGGAGGTTTTGATGTGTTGTCCACTGACCATTTCCTTACGTAAGACGCTCGAATGAATGAGATGGCTTGACGAGATTCCGGCCCCACAATATATTTATCATATTTAATGGCTCTTTATCGCCCTCACCATAAGATATTGACTACGGCAGTACTCAATCTGCTACCTACGACAACTTGACTACTGTATAAATATCAAAGTGACTTCATGAGGTAATTGAGTAGATACATGTAAAAGAGGATCGTCAAGTTTAATTGCAAAGAATATACCTTTTTTGAAAAGAAACGAATAGTTAAATGAGATAAAGTCTACCCACAGCTATCTGGTACAAGCGGGATTTCCACTTTTTCACGCCCACGAACCCTTTTTTCAAGTTTGTTGACCTTCTTGAAGGCTATTGAACAACCCGAAGTACATATCTCTTGAGCTCCTGAGATGAATTACTTTCCCTTTGAGCTATTTGAAGTGGAATTGAAGTGTTCTTTTTTCAGATGAGACATCGATTGTGAGGGAATGTGCATACCTAGGTGAAGACATTGAGGACAAGAGTAATAAGGTACGCGGTAACAACAACTTTCATGACTTTCATTCTCTTCCCTTACAGATGTTTGCTTTCTTCTAAAGCTGTCGAGCATTTATGAGTGAAGAAAGTTAATAGAAATAAAAGTTAAGGGAACTAGGATTCATTCTTCTGCTGGATACACTAAAGGTTTTCGTTTAAGCAAAGTGAAATATTGAACTCACCGAATATTTTGCTTCAATGGCTTCGGATATTTCTCTTTAGCGAATTGTTGAGGCATTTCTGCATTTGTATAAAACTTCTCTACATCATTATGCTTTGCTTCTAATATGTTCAACTTTTTTAAAAATATTTCGTATCTATTTACATTTTCTCGTGTGTAGCGCAGTGGTCAAAGGGCGCCCTGCAACACACACGTAGAATCGATCCCCGCACCCATGGCTCACCAAGCTTTCCATATCTCTGGGGCCAGAAAATTGGCACCAGACTTATCTGGGAGGATAGCAGCACAGGCTCGATACATCGCCAGGCTATCGCGAGTAATTGTAAAGGCCAGACATGCATTCAATCACCTCCAAACGATGCTTAATGAAGTCGAATGCATGACGCATCCCTCAGGGATTCATCAACACCGAGAGCTCTGTCCTCTTTTTTATCCTTTTACCTTTTTCTCTTTCTCTTTTCCGATGGGGAGAGTAAGAATTACCGTAGTGCTCTGCCTTGGGACATCATGCAAGAACTCTTCCTGAATAAATTTATAACAAATCTACGCATGGTATGACGAATTTCATCGTTCGCTTTCAAGAGCCTCATCAGTATCTAGCGCTCTGAACTTTTTTACGGTCACTTGGATGGCCACTCAGGAAACCTAAAACTTTTTTCCCCGGAATCACGAAAGTTGTAAGGGCTGTGGTTTTTTGCATGAGATCGTCTCAACACATCTCTATCTTTACATTAATTCAATTCAAAGTACTTTTCCTTGGTAAGCTAACATGAAGTTCATAAAAAACTTCACTCGACTGACGTTTGGTGTCTTCCCCTTCTATTTGAAATATTACTTTTTTGTGAAATCATAGTTTCACCCATAACTACATGTTGAAGTATTGAAGTCGTTAGCCATTTCCTTTTTTTTCTCGGATAAAACAAAGAAACGAAAAGTCGTCAGCGGATGCTCGTTTGTGATTTGTGCTGGGAAAAGTCTTTACGACTTCAAGTCGGAGAAAATGAACACAGCTGCTTCTTCTTCGCAGGAAGCAAAGTCTTTCAATGGTGAAATAACGATCTCTAAGGAGATCGCGTCGATGTTGTGTCAGAGAACTCAAAAATTCGATTATAATAGGAAAGAAAAATATCTATTTATTAAGGTAACCAGAACATTTGCAAGGAAGCAGTCTAGAAATATCATGCTTGACGGTCCGTAGTTTCCGTCAGATTTCAGTGAAAAGTCACTTCCTCCGGTGTCTTTACTAGCGATGTCCTAACCTAAATCTTAAACAACTCTTACTGATGTGATGGGTTCATTCATTTGACGATGTGAACCCTTAGGTTGTTTTCGAAGCAACAGAGAAGTGATCTAAGTAGTTGTAATATGATGTAATAGACAACTCAGTAATAAAAGAAAAGTAAGAATTGAACAACAGTGAAGAAATGGTGAAGGAAACCTGAACTCCTTACAGTATTTCAATTATTAAGGAGATGACTAACTAAACTCTTAATTCAAGCATGAGAGGGCCCAAAATTAGCTCTTCTAACTTTACGCTTCATTTCACGAATATCACCCAACTTAATGCGACCAGTGAACCATGTGGTGCGCTAAACCGCCATCAATAATTTGGTTTTATCGTGCCATCGATAACCTAGTCCTATCGATCGCCTTTTTTTCAAGGTTACAAATTAGTTATTGTCAAAATTTCCACGGTGATAGTTGGTAGAATTTTTATTGTCGCTCAGAGGACTTTTTCTTTCATAATATCTATTTTCCATTTCAGATCATACGGCCTCATAATCGCCTTGGCTAGCACTCGATCTTTTCAAATTTAATGCTTTCAGATCATTTTTATTAATTTATCATCGGCCAAGTATTCGAGAGAAATTGGAAAAAATGGCTGCCGCATTGTGAAAACAATATTATGCACCACATAAAGATGACAGACTACACGGAGTTGACGGAAATCTGTGAAATCCTTGTATGAGGACACGTTATTGCAGGGTTCAATCGGTGTTTCACGTCTAATGTCACAATGCTCAAATCGACCAGCCTGTAACGCAGCACCTTCTGAAGCTGTCGGCGTATCTCTTCTAGCTGTGGTAGCAGTAGCATATCGTATACTCGTCTAGAATAGTGCCATGCCAAAGTCTTTCATATGGTTCTTCTAGCCAAAGTCCTGTACTGTCATCTAAACAGACACCTTCCCAACTATGCTCGAGTTAAAAGATTGTTAGTTTATGATGACTTATGTCAAATTCTAGTGATTGTAAAATCCTAGTTAATGCTTTTTGGTCAGAGATATGCTATCATGCGTTGGTGTGATACACAAAATCGAGGCTATTGATTGAATTTCAGCGAAAATCAATACGTACGTTTTGTTTTGGGACGTGTAGCGCTTTACAGTGGCGTCGAAGTATATCTCTGAGTTAAAATGAGCAAGTAATTTAACAAATCGGTTAGAAAAATCTGTTATAATGTTGATATTTTAATAGCTAAAGGTTAATTGGCCTGAGAGTTTTTTGTAAATAATTTATTAAAGGAATGTAGTTACTTTATTGTGCTCCCAGCGGTTGTGTCCATTGTGCCATAAGTAACAGAGCTGTACAAAGCGGTCTTTACTGCAGCGCTTTTATAAGAAACCTTCAGATTTTCTTCAAGAATGATTTTCTTTCAACACGTCTGATTTCTATAGCACCAAGGTGGGAAATATTTGAGTGCCTAATAAAGCTAAATATTAGCAATGATTAGTCCCATTCCTAGAGCCGACTTTCTCATAACCTCGGCATTGTTCAGTATGTCAGTGTTTTATTCTTGAACAGACACGAGGTTGTGAATAACTGGATTTATTAAATCTGACGTTTCGGAGGTTTAGTCTTTTTCAGAGCTGTTCACACAAATCAAGTTTGACACGTAAACCACTCAGCCAAGCTCCTTTCTAACATTAGTAGATAAAGCCTAACACGTGAATTATATTAGAAACCATTTAGCTGAGTTGTAGGCGAAAGCTGGCAGATAGCACTATGGTAATGATACCGATAATCACGAGCACAGTGCAGATTCGATCCCGCTCCAGGCTCACAAAGCCTCCCATTTTTCTGGGGCTGGGAAATTTGTACATGACTTGCTGGGGAAGGAATCACTCCCTGTAATCCATGTGGGAACGCTCCAGTCCGGTTATCTCAGAACTCCAGGAGAATTGACTCGATCAGCATTCTACGACATCCAAGATGAAATACTCAACCAACAGCCGAAGCCACAAGGCTAGAAGACTTTGGCGGATGATGGGTGCGAGGAAACGAATCGAGTGTGAGAAATTCTGCGATCTGAACAGTAGACGTGGAAAACGGGTCGTTTAAAAAGGGATAAAAAAGTGTATAGGCTAAACATCCGAAACGTCAGCCGTATCCTTGGAATAAATCTTGTTAGTGGCAACCTCGTCTGTGCTCAGGAACAAAACATTGACTTATCACTCTCACTGTATAGTTCTGGAAAGTAGGCCATTTGTTATGCTGCCGATCAATCTCGTGTGTTTCTTTGTGAAAATGACTTATGAAATAAATATTATTTTATGATCTCAACAGTCACTTTGTTTTTAAGCTTGATCTGGGTGCGAAGCGCTAAGAAATGACATCATCATGCCCAGACATACAGCTTTTCCAAACATTTGTCTACAAAGTTACTAGGAGTTTTTGTAATGTTGTCTAATATCGCTGCACCGATGACCCAGTGGCACTTCCCTTCATTAATTTACTCCTGTTTATTGGTCAGCATTGGTTTTCAAAAGGTTTCCTTCGTGTTTCTTTTGTACTTGAGAGTCATAAGTTCTCTATCTTTAAGAATCTCTACTGTTCTTACTTCCTGCTTATGTCTCATTCATTTTACGCTTTCTATTTTTTCCATCAATTTTATTGTTTTGATCTTCGTAATATTAGTGGTTCTTCTACCTTATTATGCTTGTATTCTTGTTTTTCTGGCCACACACACACACGCACGCACGCACGCACACACACACACACATGCACACATACACGAACATACAGGCTCACCGACATACATGCCAGAAGTCACTCCGACACACACACATCTCACTCTTTTTTTCCACTCTTATTGCTTTTCCTCTCAACTTTTGGTCTCTCATTCTTTCCAATTCTCTTGTTTCTTCTTCCTTTCTCTTTTCTTCTCGTAATTTTAACCTTTGCCTTTGTCGGAATATCAATTTCATTCTTTCATTCTCTTCTTTTCCTAACTCGTACACTTCTTAACTCTACAGGGCTCTCGGTTTCTCGTTATCTCTTGTTACCTCTACATTTTCATATTTAAAAAAGAAATTTATGCAGTAGGATGTAACCGTTTAATTGGCGCAAGAACAACATACGTTTAAGTGATAATAAAACCGATCTATGATATAGATTTAATAAAACCTTAGTGGTTGACAGACAAATGCCCCCGGAATGAAATGCAAATGAAAAAGGAAAACAAAGGAGCGAATTATTTTGTGTTCCTTCTCGCTGCATTCTGTCTTTGTCTTCGTTCACAGCTGTATTTATAGTGTCTTTTTCGTATAGTAGCAAAGGTAATTCAATACAGATAGAGAATACGAATATCTAATTGGCGGTAGACAACGCATTCGTGTTAAGGGCTTTCAGAAAGGAAGCTCTACTTCGAAGACCACTTTCATTAAGTCGTTTATTTTAGGAAGAACTACAAACAGCAGCCAATTAATTAACAGTTTGAAAATTAAAAGCAAAAATTCTTGAAAAGAATTTGAGGTCCAGAGATATCCTTAAACCTAAAATCAAGGCGTTACTCAGAGCTGTTAACTACTTATGACTTTGCCTCTTCAAAACGAAGCCCGCCAGAAGCAGCTCATTTCCGGATTCATTTTTTATTAACAGTATTCTCGTGGATTCTGAGGTTTTAGTGTTATCCATTTTAGACAGTAGTAGACATTGTCTTTCTTTAGCTTTTCTGGATCCGGAAGTCATGGTGGTCAAACAATGGCTTCGAAAATTCTTTACAAAATGTGATTGATGCAGTGCGCTGTTTGCAGTCATCTCTATTGCTGAGAATTCTTTAGATTGCCAGTATTCTTAGCAAACTTTGCAGCTAAGGCGAGCAGACTGAGGTAGATTTTTAGAGTCACCTAATTGAAGTACCTTTTATCAGATAAGAAGCTACGGGAACCTTAGAATGCCTCTGTCATTATGTCAATATCTTTGATGACTGGTCTGAATGTCGAAAGTTCAGCATTAGTAACCGAAATAAAATAGTGCATCCGTTTGTAAATCATCATTTTTTAGTGAAAAATTAGGAGCTGGGTCACTTATATGAAAAAAAATGTATGCAAGTTGTTCGGATAAATTTTGTCGCTTCCGACTGCTACTGATTAAAAGTCCGTTCTAACAGGCACGTCGGCGTAGGGCAAATACCAGGACAAACCGAGCGCATCATCCCTTACGATTCAGGACTTGGATCCAGACTAGCCTGAGAGGATGAATGCACTGATTATATATCGGATATTATGCACTGATTATTATATATTGCATATCGTGAGACTCCTCTAGTCATTTTATACGGCAGAAATGCGCTTGATAACCTCTAAAGTGCTACTAATGGGTCCGATACATATCCCATCGCTAGGGTGTGCTCAACACTAATGACTTTATTAACCCAATTAAGAAGAATCCTTCTTAAGAAGGTGGTGAACGCGTTAGCCCCAGGAAACGGTAATAGGACGTTCGTTCTCCACCCACACCACTCGTGTTCATCGTTTCTCCTTTTTCTACCTATCCTGCGAGATCTCCACCGCAGACACCTGCGGTCCGGAGTTTTGCAAACCAGCCATGAAAAGTTGTAGTAGACAAAAAGTAAAAAGTTAACGTTGTGACTTCTTAAGGTCGTTGAGCATCAAACACCACTGATTATTCCATCAGGCATTTAAAGCACTGAGTTTAAGCGAGAGTTATTGAAGTAGAGGCGATGCTGGAATTGCTTAATGGATCAGGAGGAAAAATTACAAAAAATTCATAAAAATGAACGTTTTCCTTCAGTGTAAAATTTGAATGAGAACAAATATTCGTAAATTTGACCTTATTCTATGAAGCGGTATTCTACTTATGCCTCGCGAGCTAGACAATGAAGCGCATCGATATGAAAGCATTAACTAAGTAGGAAGTTGAGAACGGCGTACTTGATTCTGCAGTCCTTTTCATTTCTTTATATGACCCGTCTTCACGTCTGCTGTGCGGATCCCAGCACTTCTCACATTCGATTCGTTTCCTCTCATCCACGCAGATCATCCGACTTTCACGTGTGGCTTTGTCTGCTGCTTGAGAATTTCCATTTCCTCTTGAATGTTGTAGAAGGCAGGTCTAGCAATTCTCCCTGGAGTTCTGATATAGCCGAGCTGTAGTGTTTTCAGTTGGATTGCAGAGAGTGATTTTTTCGTCCCAGACAAATCCGGTACCAATTTTCCGACCCTAGAGGGATGAGAGGCTTGGTTGGCCCGGAGCGGGCTCGAACTAGCACCATGCTCGTGATGACCACCATCACTACCACTATAATATTCGCAGCAGTTTGTAGTCCTAAGAAAGGAGATTCAGAAAGATCAAAATTTTTAGACTCGGCGAGTCAATTTTAGTTGCTAACGATCTTCATCAAGCCGCTGCTCAGAAGCGATCATAAGAAATATTTCGGTTTCCTGATAAACTTCTCGAATCCGCTTGTTAACAACAGAGATCGTACAGAAAATTTTAGAGCACTAAGGGGTGGTTTATGAAGACAGAGAACTATTTGTGGCAGTCTGCTAGATTTCATAGAGAAAGTCATTTGGCAATAAAAAATTTAGGGCTACAATGGTTGAGGATACGGTAACGGAAAACTGAACACAGTTTGGCTGAAATAAAATCCAGTGAGAGCAAAACTTCTTTGAAGAAAAACACGAACAGATAAAGAACCGAGCAGCAATACCACTCTAGCTGCTCTAAAGTTTTGGACCGGAATACCAAAGCTGGATTTCTTCCAGAATATTGTTACCATCTTTGATATTAGTATGAAGACAAAGAAACAAGCTAAAGCATTGTTTTTACAATTTTTTGGAAGTCCATGACTTCCTTCCAAGTATCAGAATGAATTTCGTGCGAAGGAAAACGGACGCACTTCACAGCAGCGGCAAATAGTAAGCCAGCTGGTTACTACTCCTCATTGCAGCCACCGTCATTTCACCTACGTCGTCCACGAAGGTGGATTTAGAAACGAGTTCTGGCGCAACTTTATTATTCGTTCTTTTGTTCATAGATCTCACTGAGTGCTGATCCAATAGATTTTTTCTCGAATAGCAAATTAGTTATGCCAGAGCTTGCCAAAGTATTCTCCACAGGCAGTGGCTTGGATTTTTGGAGTTCATGGAGCTGCTTACTGTAGAGAGTTCTTTCCTTTACAAGTCTGACAAATTTACCGGCCTGTATTGGCCATGAAACAGTGGTGTCGTGCATTGAAGAGGGCATCTAACCACTGCATTGTAAGTGCTTCATTTTCACTCAAAGGTGAGAAGTGCTATGAAGTTCAGCTCGACATTATTCGCGCCGACTATCTACTACGTACGTGTTGGTAAGGGAGAACTGAGCGTGTGCCAATCATGACCGAAATCATAATGAGAACAGCTTATATTAATTTAATCATTTTATCCTTAACGTTTTTATACTTGACATATCAGAAAGTCCTAATAAATTTTAAACTCCCAAGTTGCTCAGACTGGTCGTTTCCACTATTCTTAATCCTTTTTGTTTTCTTGCAAACCTTATCTATACTGGTCGAATACGTGTATGGATCTTGATAGGGTTTGAGGATTTAAGGTCTAAGAATTTGAAGTTGCGTCGACATGGTGATGTTCAAGATTGAGCGTTGCACTCCATACAGTCTCGAGTGCCGGTTTGGTTAGGAATAGGGTTCATTTTACTCTATTTAAATTGAACAATGCACTTATAAGATGAGGAGGGGGCGGAGAGCACAGTGCTAATGAAGCCCGCCATCACGAACATGGTGCTAGTTCGATTCCACTTCGGGTCAACCAAACCTTTCATCCCTCCGGGCCGGGGTCAGGAAATTAGTACTGGAGTTGTTTGAGAAAAAAATCAGTGCAATCCTATTGGGAACGCTCCAGCCCGGCTATCTCAGGACTCCAAGGAGAATTGTTCGACCAGCATTCTACTGCATTCAAGTTGAAATGAAAATCCACAGGCAGTAGCCGAAGCCACGCGTAAAGTTGGAAGACCTTCGTGGACAACGGATGCGAGGAAAGGAAATGAATGTGAGAAGTGCAGGGACCTACACAGTAGGCATGAAGACGGGTCAAATAAAATAAAATGAAAATAAAAGAGCTTTTACTTTTTCAATACAAAAACAATAGTCATTCATTTAAAGGCTTTTTCCATATTTTTTCTCCGAACTTTGCCTTAACTCATGATTAGGCAAGACGGATCAAATAAAATTAGAAAAACCGTTCATAGTGAAGGGGTTCACATTTATCCAATGACCGATCACAAAGAGTACTTGGCTATTTCAATGCCTTAGAGATAAAGAAATTTCTCGTTGAAATCAGCGGTGCTGTGTTTTAGAGACTGCTCTTAGCCAATTTTTGCTGAACACCAACAGAACAGATGTCATCATCAGCACAGATCATCTTCGAATGCAACCGACTCCGTTGGCTTTATCCCTATCAGAACAGTACGACATCAAAACCGTGTCCTTTGCGGTGTGACTAATTTTATAGGGTGGCTGCTGCTAGCACAGTCGTGGTTATTATTGGTGTTCGCTGCCCTCTCAACCATGGCTCAACTTGATGTCGACAGTTTGATGTCTCGTCTACTAAATGTGGGTATGGCTGGAGGACGATTGACCACGTCGGTGCGTTTGCGTTAGATTTAATTGCGTTAGTTGGTGCGTTTTATTTAGATCTTATAAGTTGCAGTCGTGAACCAGTTTTGATGAAAATTTACTAAAGTAGAACTTATAGGCACTTTTTATATTTCCATTCATTTGTCTCGTGTGTAGGTATCGGAGCAAGAACTGCAGCAGTGTTGCTTCGTTGCTAGACAAGTATTCATTAGTCAACCGTCTCTAATCGAATGTGAACCACCACTGGTAGTATGTGGCGATATTCACGGACAGGTGAGTTGAAGATACATCTATGACATGGTCTCCTTCGCAATATACAGACCTTCTCTAGTACTCGGATTTACTACGTATTTTCGACAAAAACGGCTTTCCACCAGAGACGAACTACCTCTTTCTTGGAGATTACGTCGACAGAGGACGCCAGAATATCGAAACTATATGTCTCATGTTCTGTTATAGGATCAAGTTTGTGGTTTGTGCTTAAACGGACCGCATTTGTCAGAGATTCTGCAAAACAACTGTTTCAGGTATCCTGAGAGTTTCCTTATGCTTCGTGGAAACCACGAATGTCCGGCCATCAATCGTGTCTATGGTTTCTATGAGGAATGTAACCGTAGATACAAAAGCTCTCGCTTGTGGAGCTCATTTCAGGTTTAGGTCCTTTAGTCATTGTAAAATAGAATGCTCGACTGTCAATTTTATGATGCCTTAGAAAATTACTATTGTTATTTAAAAGTATTCCTTAGATGTTTAATTGATTACTATCATAGTTGGGTGGCCGCTCATCACGAGTAATAAGGCATCGGTACACTTTACATTCTTTCTCTACCTCAAAATTGACATCCATGCAGGTTCTGTCTAGTCTGTGCTGGGGCTTCTGGTTTTTTCTGTGAGCTGTTCTTCATTCTAGCCTTTTCTTTCCTGTAACCTCTCTTTTAGCCATTAAAACCCACTGAGCATCTGTATCCCGTTACATGGATGTACACATCTAGGACAATAACAATTCATATTATTTAGTTATTTATTCATGTTGAGCAACCATGGCCATGGCACGGTTACGGAAATACTAGCCCTTTTTTTGGGTTGTCTAAAACCAAAGCTAAGTCATTCATTTACCCTACATCAATAGACATTTGTAAAGTAAGTGTAGGCTTAAAATCTCTACAGTTCGCAAAATCTCAGAAGATTGAGAAATTTTGTGAATTATTCCACCTGGGCCATTCCAACGTATCGCCGGTAAAGTGAATGCCTGTGAACTTTATGCTAACTACCGTCATCCTTCATATCTACCGCATTTACTGGTAAATACCACTTTGGCGGATAAACGAAGATTACGATTTTCTGACAGGATACGTTCAACTGGATGCCACTCTGCGGTCTTATTGCCGGACGAATCCTTTGTATGCATGGTGGACTGTCTCCGCAACTGACCGCCATTGACCAACTGAGAAATCTACCACGTCCTCAAGATCCTCCCAATCCGTCAATGGGAATCGACCTACTCTGGGCCGATCCCGACCAATGGGTGAAGGTAAGTTGTGGTAGATGTGGGCGGTCTACTTGTCTTAGATAGTTGATTGATAAAAAAGACGGATAAAATCTTTCAAATCTAGAATTCAGATCTTTCTTTCAAAGTTACACATTCCAGGGATGGCAGGCAAACACACGAGGGGTGTCCTATGTGTTTGGTCAAGATGTCGTCATAGACATGTGTCAGAAATTGAACCTTGACCTCATTGCTCGCGCCCATCAGGTCCGTGGTCCTGGCAAATTTTCAATATCACTCACTCATGGCTTTATGGCCTCATTCCTCCAGTGGTCCATTTTCAATAGATATCGCTTTTATTACTGGTAATCTTTAAAGCACAATAGGTAAAATCGCAATCATTTACTTTTGCAAGTCGTAACTAGAAAAAAAAGCGCTATTTTTGGTGTAGACGAGTTTGTCATATTGTTATATGTTAGGTGCAAAGGTTCCGGCTAAATGAAGAACACCCTGTTACGTTCCCCCTTTAAGGCTTTCAAACGGGTTAGCCCTTAGTAAAGTGCCAGGACCTGCTGAACGTCCTTAACCCGACTCCTGTCAGATGACATCATATTACTTGTGTTGGTCGCTTTGCATGGGGCCTAAAGAGATTGGATCACATCTGTTGTTGCGATTGTGCGAAAATGAGAAGAATTCGTTAGCTCTGAGGGAAGTTCAGTCATGTAAGTGATAGCGTATGATTTCATTAAGAGGTGCTCAAATTACAGGTAGTGCAAGATGGCTACGAGTTCTTTGCCTCAAAAAAGATGGTGACCATATTTTCGGCTCCACACTACTGTGGACAGTTCGACAATTTTGCTGCGACAATGAAGGTATGGCTCATTCTCAGTGCTTGACACCATCCTATTTAGTAATTGTAGTCCTTTCAGGTGAATGAGGACCTGGTCTGTAACTTCTCGATGTACAAGCCAACCGCAAAAGCGGCACGTATAGCAGCTGGCAATGGCTAATGTAATGTAATAAAGACATTCCATAATACGACACATTGTATCAATGAATATTGTGAACTGCTCTTTAATTAAACGTATTGAAATTAAATTCGGACGGAGTTATGAAGAAAAGTAGGGCCAAGCGAATCAAGGGTACAAACGCACAACTGACGCTTATGTATTCTAATTTCTCACCGGATTCTTACGAAGGAGAAAAAAAACAATGGGAAGTCCTAAAGGTAAAGGCAAGGAGACGTGTGGCGCAGTGGTTGGAGGCGCCCCTGGAATCGATCTCCGCGCCCCCAAGCCTTCCATCCCTCTGGGGCCGACAAACTGGTGCCAGACTTTTCTGGAAGGATGGAATTCCTCTTGTAATGAACTGAAAAAGTCAGTTAGGAATGGAGCCTGTGAAAGTGACTCCGCTCATTTAGTCGATCAACGCTGGAATTCCCGTATAGAGGCTAAATTGGATATAAAAGATCCGAGGAATTCATAATTTAGTAAGGAATACAAAATCCGCAAACGAATTTCAGATCTGAATTTAGTTTCCTTCCAACTTGTCCACTTATAGGAAGCCTCTTTCGTAGAGATGGTCCTGCTGGGTACTGTTGCCAGCGACTTTATCAGTACAGAATTTTCTTTCAAAGCTCTGTATTTTGTGCGGTAATTCCGAAGCTATTAAGTGGTAATATGGAGAGCGAATCTGATCTCATTCCATTAGTAGAAGCATTTATGGTGCAAAATGGTGTAATAACAGAAAGCTTCGGAGTGGTTAAGAGGTAGCAATGAAAAAACCATTCGAGTGTTCAGTTCGTAACAAACTTTCAGTTCAAAGATTACAGGATATTAGTGGTCACATCGTCAGTCTTCGTGCAGACGCTGCAGAATCGAAGGAAAGCGTACAAAATGCCAATCACACAAGACAGCGCCACACAAATTATGGCGATCCTGAAAATAGTATTCCGAAAACACTAGGAAAACTATAAAGTACCTGATTCAACAGATCCAGAGAAAAATGTGACTAATGGCACATCCTAAAATCATAAAAACGACAAAAAATTTCTGTCTGTTGTACTAAATTTAACACGCATTCGCTTTAGCCTTAATATCCTTTACCAACCTTGGAACCACTGCTTTTTAAACCACACTCTTCCCAACTCTACTGTTTTATATGCTGTCCTACGACAAAATTAAAAGTGAACACTCTTGTGAAATCAATCGGGTTCTGATGATGTTTAACTCATAGAAATAGTTGTTAAAAAAATCCTCAATGTGGCTCTACAAAAAACAACAAATGTTGATTACTGAAGGATTGTTGGCGAATTGGTTGTGAGGTAACAAGGTGCGCCCCCGAGACGAAGGTGGTACTCAGAAGATAGACTTCCTATGTCTGCTCTGCTAAATTGATAAATAAATCTAGAAATAATTGTGACTCAATAACAAAAGTGACTGCGAACAGAAGCCTTGATCGACTCTAAAAAATAAGCCCGAGGCACCAAAGGAATGCCAGCAAGCTGCCTGTGAGAACTATTGCCCGAAATATATTTATTTATATGCTCTTATGAAGTGATCGTGTTGAGATGAAGCGAGGTAGGTATAATTTTTGTTGTTATTGTTGCCGTTAGCCGATGTCTGAGGTCTAGGCATTTCGTATTCCTCAGAGCTGTGGTGTTACAAGTGGAAGTGAGGTATTCGCAGAAAACAATAACAGATTGTCTCATTACCATGATGGCAGAATGCGGAACTACTGACTACGACTACTATCGGGACGCCGCTAGAATTTCAGAACTGTTTGATTACCAAACTCTGAGCAGACCACTGCGACGTTCGTCATTTACAACACGAGGACAACGAAATCGAAGCCCTACGTTGAATGCCTCGTCGTACAATCTACTAAGATTGAGCAGGATATTATCGAATTGACCGAGATAAGAGAACAAAATTTTAAAAAAAACGGAGTCTCAAAATCGTCCTAAATGAATATTTTTAAAATCGGACGTCATAACTTTAGAGAGTCACAATAACCGACAACACGAGGGGCATGAAAGGCCGGTCTGACACCGATAAAACAGCAGAGATCGATAATGTGAGAAAAGAAGTCACTTTTAATCAACTTTCCTCTTAAAATTTCATCGTGGAGTTGCACCAAACGTGGAAAGCCACGACTTCGTGGTCAACATACAAAACTGCAGAGAAATTATTAAATTCTTAATGAGATATGAAACGCATCAGTACAAGGTCAACCTAAAGATGCTGGGAAAGAGTATCCGCAGCAACTGTTCGGAGCACGCTGAGTACAAGACCGCCATGTTACTTTTTGACACTTAGGCGAAACAGTTGCTACTTCAAGGAGACTATTGAGAAGGTCATTCTTTCATTCCAATCCCTCATTTAGGGTTAGGTAGGACGGATGTGCTGCAGTAATAGTTCTCCCTACGAAGCTCGGCAGCTACTTCGTACGTGAAGAACCATGCCAGTCCCGATGTGAGCAAGAATAAACCCCAACATCTATGAAACCCACTGGCATTCACCATTAACAGGAAAGTTTGGTTTTTTATATGTTGACTGTAAAAATGTCGACGAGAGCGTGTTGCTGTACAAGAAAGGAGATCTCCACGACACCGGAAACTTTCACCCAATCTGCCTACTGTCTCTTCTCTATAGATCCATTACTGTAGTTATCTTTAAAAAGATTAATAAGACTGTGTATGAAATCCACAAGCAGGGTTTTAAAATAGACTCAGTACAATAGTTTACATCCACACGACGAAATCCCTTCAAGTGTCACCAGAGTACAACAGAACGCTTTGTTATACCAACACCGATTTACAAATGTTTTAGAATTAATTGGAATAGAAGCGGTAAGAAGAGTTTCGGGAAGTTAACGCAACGTCCTTGAGAGGTATTACTTGATACTTGAATGGTCCGTCCTCACTGGTTGTGCAGTCCTCAGCATAATCTCCATTTTTTGGAGACTTGCTGGTTAAGCCATTGTAGTTCCTTGGAATCCCGAGGTCGGCCTGGCCAAAGTCTGCACCGGGTCGTCAACACGACAGGTATTCTCAGCCCTTGTGGATTAGAGAGAGATTCGCCACCATGTGACTTTGATACCAGGACGGTGGCGAATCCTGGTATTGGTTTACTCTTAGCTAGGCTTTCTGATGGAAACGCCGGACTCCTCAGCTTGGGAGACCCTGCCAAGGAGATGAATCCTCCCGCTGTACATCGCATGCCGACACGAAGAACACCTCCCAGTCACGATGAGTCGGTAAACCGTTGGGAGGTTGCGAAGTATTTATAGTAAATAACAGTGGGGAGCAGACAACGCAGCTTGGTAAATATTGATTCTGTAGAGATAAGTTATCTCTGTATCAGATACCACTAAGTATTGAAAGGTAAGAGTTATTTTACACGTAACAGACCATGCTGAGTTTCCTGAGAAATGCTGAGCAAATTCGATAGCTAGCAGTTGGGAAGTTCAGAATGTGGTATACCGCTGAGTGAAGGTTTTTTCTATCGCTCTAAAGTGAAGCGGAAGGATAGCTTTCATTTCAATTAATAAAGTTTGCTGTTGCCCGAGATATGTGGCTTGAAAGTTGAAAGCGATCATTTTTTACGCACTGCTTGCCTTGAAGTCAATGCAGATAGTACGCCATGAGCTAGCTCTGGACATCACTACATCTTGAACGGGTCATAATTTACAGAAACAAAATAATATTTTAAAGGCTTATCCCAGTACAACTGTTCTGACTGAATATTATACCGAAGACAGAAAAAGCTAAGACTAAGCCGATGTGAATGTTGTCGAGAGCATCATAAACACAAATGACACTTGAAGTCTCCCAGCAGTATATACGTATTGCACAACAGAAAACTATGGGCTAAAAATGGATCCTCGAAGAAGCATTTCAAGCAAATTTTTTCATCAGAAAAGAAGAGGTTATAGTAAGCCATTCTTCTCCTTAGTCTATCAAGGTATTCACAATGATCGGTAACACGATCGTGACAATTTCTGCTCCTCGACAACTGCTAATATTTTTTGATGTTTTTTTAAACTTGAGGACTTGTACAGGTCTAAGCAAGAGACTGTAGGAGGATAGGTATGGTTGTTAATAGAGTGCAAAACTATATGTTTGCTCAACACTTATGAGACGACGTGAGCTCTACGAGAGATTTGTTGAGGAAAAGCTGCCGCACGACGATTATAGGGGTCATTTTGTTTTCCGTGATTTATTTTAACAGATAAAGCCCTTTTCCTGCATTTCGTGTATTCAAGCGGTTGTTTATTCAACACAGATTTTGCTGTAGCGTCATCCGAGAAGAAGCTCTATTTTGCACCGACAAATATATGGGGATCCTTTTTTACGAGCGAGTTCATTGACAGCTAACTTGACTGATGACTAAGTGCTATTTCAATCCCAACTGCTCTGCTGGGTTACAGCTATCGTATGGAACGGAGGGATAAAAAAATATAAGAAATTTACTTAAAATAAGCTCCAAAACTATTCCAAACACTGACAGCACTGTATTTACATAGATGCCTGTAGTAATACGTACTAGTAGCATAAATGCCATATACACCCACAAGCTGTCAAGTTTTCTGGCTATTGAGATAATATCGTCTATTTCAAAAAACCACGGCATGTAGCGGAGTGGTCGGAGGCGCTCTGCAATACATATGGGATGATCGATCACCGCATCCATGGCTCACCGAGCCTTCCATCCCTCCGGAGTCAGCAAATTGGTACCAGACTTGTCTGGGAGGATAGCAGCACTGACTCGGATGATACATCGGTAGGTCACTGCGAGTCATTGTAAAGGCCAGATACTCCTTCAGTCACCTCCAACGATGCTTAATGAAGTTGAATGCATGGCGCATCCCTTAGGGATTGATCAACGCCGAGAGCTTTATCCTTTTATTTCATTGTTGAAAAACCAACGGTTCCGCAAAGACGTGAAATTAGGATCGTTCTTCAAAGTACTTACTCAAAAATAGGCATCGTCGCGTAGGTGTTAAAGTTAAAAGTCGGAAACCTCTTTGAAACGTGGGCATAGAAATCAGTGCGCTTCGACCAAATTGTCCACTTCCGCGTCACATACAGGCATTGGCGAAGAGTCAATCAGAGAAAAAACGAGGACTCCACAAAACGCTAACCAAACGCTCAGTTGTCGTCCTCATCGCCCTTGTATTCCGACACGATGTGACATTATTCAAATCTGAAATGTGTAAAGTTCTTGAGACAAATTTCTGGAAGCTGCGCAAAAAATTTCCAATGGTGGGAGGTAGAGAACCTGGGATCTGAAATGTGAACGTAATGCAGCCGACAAGCGCAGAAAAGCTGGAGAACAAGCAGCGCAAAGAACCTGTCCAAGCAAACCACACTAGAATATCATATGCATTGAAGACAATGCATGAGTCGTGAAGATAAACCACCCAAAGCTAATACGCATTTCTACCTGACTGAACAATTTCTTGAAAACGACGAAGAGTCTGAGTAGGTCGGTAAGACAATTCTTCTGGTCCTTTATTTTTTCAAATGTTTTGGTGTCTTTTTATACGACGCAGATAGAATTGCACGTATCTCCACATCACCTTTATTTTCTTAGAAAATCTATGTTCTCTCCACCCGTTTGCTGAAACATTTGTTCTTCTCACTCTCTACTAGTCAATGACAATTTACACGAATAAAATGTACTTACAGTAGCCAAATACGCACTTCTGCACAGCATTTTAAACCGTTGCCGCTCAAATGACTACAACAAGAGTAGTAGAAAAACATTGTTTCGCCTGGACACCTGCAAATCGGTGACATTCAATGCTCTTTGTCATTTGCTTAAAAAACAATTTATTAACGCAGAAATAAGCAGAGAAACGGATACCGTAGTGCTTGAAAGTGCCCTATAGCCCACATACATGTTGGTTCGAACCCGTGCCCCAGGCAAATAAGGTCTTACGTTATTCCGAGGTCGAAAAAGTGGTGCCAGACTTCTTAGAGAGGATAAAACCATTGAAGTCATGCACTAGTAGAACTCACAGAAGGCAAATTCGTTCACGTTTGCGATGCTATGAATGGAATAGAATACACTGGGTTCTCCTGCGGGAATGATTAGCTCTGAGTTTCTCAGAATTGCTGAAGTCGATTTTACAAATGGCCGAATACCTCCAACTTGTTCATGAACGTGAAAAGTTAAGACTTACAAAACATCAGGCCGAAACGGTTCTCCAGGTCGTTTACAAAAACTGCTGGAACCGTGAGAATTCCCTTGAAGGCTATTGAAGATAGCAGATGCTAAGGAGAAGAACAGCAAGGCACAGAGTATGACACAAAAAACTCGCATAGGCGATGGTAGAAGGCAAAGAATGTCAGCGTCGTCAACAAGATGCTGAAAAATCGTAAACGAAGCTTGTGCCAATGAAATGGTAGAAAAGCTATTGTGTTCTTTTTTTTCGGAATGATTGAAGTGTGAGCAAAGTCATTCGAGAGGTATCGGATTTGGTCTGGTCTTGTTTTCCTTTGTTTTATTTCGTTACAACAAGAACAAAATGTCAGGAAACATCTGCTGAGGGGAATGCTATCGGGCAACGACTTTATGTCTTTCAGCAAGTTGTAATGGTTTCGTTTGCTACTACTGGAATACCTTGTAGTCAACTCTTAAGAGAATTTCTGCATTATAACACGGTGGAGTGTAACGTTACAGTTCTTTACTGTATTCACTGTTTTTATTTGCTACGAATATTCGCTAGTGGTAGTGATGCTTTTCATCACAAGCATGATGCCAGTTCGATCCCGTCTCGAGCGGCCTAATCTTCTCATCCATCCAGGTTCTGGAAATTGGTGCGAAGATTGGTCGTGTGAAGTAAATTTTTAAATTATTCGTTGCTGATGAGCAACAAGGTTGCACAAGCTGAAGGGGATTTCAATGCTTCGATTCGGAAGCCCAGTTTAAACAGACGAACACCATGAGTCACTTCAATTCTGCCAAGTTATAAACGATGTAGAAAGCTTTATCACGACCGCTCAGGTTCATGGTTAAGAAAATTTTCTTCAAATCTTACTCAAACGGAAGATCAGCCGTCAAATTAAAATTGTTTTTAGCCCTACATTGAACAACTAAGAGAGGTGATCACATGAATTCAAGCGACTCGTCAGAAAGTGTAGTACATCAACAATAATCCTGCTGAGGAAAAGAGGCTAAACAGCCACAGCGGTGCTGAGATATTTGCGAAAGAAAACTAACTGGTACAAACGCAGAGCAAAGACGTCCATGGCGCAGTGTGTAATGCGCGGGCGCCCCGGAAAGGGAAATCGTGGTTCGATCTGGCTAGGGGTCCAAGTTTTGCGAATATCTCAGCATCGGTGTGGGTGATTTCGAATAATAGCCTGACGTGAAACTTGTAGTAGGCAGTAAATAAAAAAGTAAACAGACGCCAAACAGTTTTTTCTTATTTCTCATGAAATGGAAATTACTAATTGCTTGAATTCACATTATTTGGAAATCTACGTCTATTTCAGACTTTTAAGGATATTTTCTACTCCACTCGGCAAGCGTGGTTATTTTTTCTTTATCTTCTCTTTGCTCAAAGAATCCTATTGAGCGCTGAATAAAGAGTGTAAGTCACAATGCTCTTTGTTTATGGCATCAACTTCTATGAAACGGCACAAAATCTAAATACCTCGAAGTTCCGCGATCTACTGGAGTCACGATGACAATGTCCACGGGACCACACAAATGTTCCGACATCTGACTCCACAGCTGACATCTGCATCACAATCGGTTACTTCCACGCACAATTTTTTAAATTTTATCCCAGAGTGCAGCAAATCGACAAAAACGAGCTTAGATTTCAACAAAAAAAAACTTTGAAGCGTTATGGAGGAAGCAAAGAATAAAGGATAAAGCGTCTGTTATTGATCAATTCCTCAGAGGTGCGAAATTTATTTTGGTCTATTAAACATGACAGTGGGGAATGGCATGCTTGCGCAATACAATAACTTGCGGACTCTATCGACCGCTGTGTTAAATAACAGTTTTTATCCTCTGAGGGAAGTCTCGTATCAATCTGCCGATGTTAGGCGGATAGAAGGTTCGGCTCATCATGGACGAGGGGTTGAACCAGATATAATGTGTATACTGCTGGCTACCTCTAACTACTTTGCTACGTGCCAAATAGACTACTATGAATGTTATAGAAAGTCACCTGTCGCTCCGTTGATAGGTGGGTAAGACGAGCTGCGCAAGTAAATCTTCCATTTTCCTGTTGCGTGCAAGAGTAGCCCACTGGGTTCTGCCCGCTCTAGGGACTCGGTGAGCATCGTATCTTTCTTCTAGAGTTTTCCAGTTTTAGTTTGACCATAGCGTCGGAGGTCTTCCTGCAATACGCTTGGCATTCCGAGGAATCCTCACTAATGGCTCTTGTACATCGGTTGTCGTTCATACGCATCACGTATCTGGCCCATCTTATCTTCGACAGTTTGTCCCACAGAAAGGATTTTTGATTTTTGATTGCTGACGTAGATCGGAGCTTTGGATCCCTTACTTCTGTGAAACGGGATACGCCTACCATCGTCCTTTCGACTGCGCGTTCGATAACGCTGAGTGACCTTCCATCCTGCTTACGCAGCGACTGTTTTCTGAAGCATACGTTAGAGTAAGAAGTACCGTTGAGTCGAAAAGGTGGGCGCGGAGTCGGGTGTTCTTTGTTTTCCTCTCTACATCCTCTACACTCTTTAAAGCTCCCCAAGCCACTCGTTCACTCCTACTCAACGATGAAAGTAAGTCGTTCATTATGTTGATTTCCCGACCTATTACATAAACGTAGCTGGATCATTGGAAAATATTTATTCCGTTTAGAGTAAATGGGTCTCACGAAATGAATCCGTTCCTCATGAAAACCTTTTTTTGTGAGATTTAATCGAAGACCATCCTTTCCACAGGCGTTATCAACGTCACCTAGCTTCGTTCCGCCTAGCTAATATTCCTAATATGAGAACGATAATCAAAGATAAAGTTATCAGCAAAGAAAATGTAGTGTAATTTCCGACCACCAATTTTCACATCCATGTTGTCCCATTAGAATGATCGCATGACGTCCTCGAAGGTGGCGATGAATAATTTTGGCGAGATGGTGTCGCCTTGCCTAACCCCTCTTTTGACTTCAACGGTAATGTCGTTGTAGAGTGGCGATATTTTGGTTGCGAAATTTTTGTATAGCCCATGAGAAATCTTTCTATAACGGGTATTGATGCCATGATCATCCAAAGCTTTCATGAATGCTTATGCCTCAAATAAATTAAAAGCTTACTTTAAATCGATGAAAGTGAGACAGTGCGACCTCTTGTACTCTTGCGATAGATACTTCAAGTCTTGTTATCGTGGGCATGTAGCCCATTGGGTTGGATCCTTTTCAAAGCTCTTGCTGGTCTTCCACTGACTAGGGACCTCGCTTTCAGACAGGTAACGTGTGAGGAGCCTACCCAGTGGGTTACGAGGACTGGTGGAAAGTTCTTCATGTGTTCTGTTCTTATTCTGTCCGGACCTGGTGCTGTTCGACTTTTCACTGACGAAATGACATGTCGGATTTCGGAAGGGAGAACATATCCATCCTCCTTTATTACATATGAGGACTAGAGGACGTAGGTATTGGAGAGATCTGAGTCGTGAATGATTTTATGTACTGCCTTTCTGGGCGCTGTAACTGTTCCGTCTGGGCGTCGGAATGCAATCATCTTGGTCCTGTAACTGGTGAAGCTTCGGTGAGCTTTTGCGAATTCTTTTCTCAACCTCTGCAGCTTCGACCATAACTGCTGCTGTTCTCTCTTTCAGATCTTGTTTTATCGCCTATAAGCATTGTTTTCCAAGTTCGGACATAAGTTGACGCTTGCATGCAACTCATTCGACTCCTCACTGGCGTATCAGCATAAGTGTTTCTGGAGGCAAATCTCTCTTGGTGACTTTCGACCACTCAGCTTTTGTAGCTCTAGCGAAAAGATGTTGAATGAGCCGATGGCATTCCTTGTCGATGTTGTTGTGAACGGCATCTTCCCAACACCTAACTAGTGAATTGAATAAATCCCAGTTTATGGTGGTTTTAGGGCTTCGTTTTTTGAATTGTTCTATCAGTCTGCTGTTCTATCAATCCTGTTCAGAATAATTGGAGTGAAAAGTTTGTAGACGATGGACAGAAAGCAGATTGGGCGATAGTTTCCGATGTCGTGGTGGTCACCCTTCTTGAACAATAACACAGTCTTGTGGGTGTTCCATTGAAAAACAACCTTGAATTGTGACAGGTAACGTGTGCAGAACCGAGCTAACGTATTGATGAGCAATGGAGCAGGGTTCTTCAGGTGTTCAGGTCTTACTCTGACAGAACCAGGTGTTCGACTCTTCATTGACAAAATAGTATATCGGATTTCAGAAGGATGAACCGGTGGCGGTATATGTCTCTCCTCCTTTCTAATAATGGCAAGACGATGTGAATATTGAAAAGATCCATGTAGTATTTGTGAATGATTTTCTCCATTGTGCTTTTGTGGAATCTGTAACTGATCCATGTGGACATCGGAGTGCGTACAATCATTTCGGCTTTGTGATTGGCGCTGTTGCATGCATATTCCAGTGAACCACGTAGAGAGTTTTGTCTACTCTTCACGCACTCGCTTCTATCTCAAATGTTTCACACACATATTCACATTTTTGTGGCTACGCATCCTCACCTTGTACTGTTTATGCTCTCTACAGACTGAACTTTCTTAAGCTAATCTTCGCTATCTAATGACACAAGCACACGCATAACGTAATACGAATAGAGGCAGTTTGTAGAGGCTGTGGCTGATGTGTTTGTACCATCCCATGAAGTCGTGAACTGTGTGGAAAGCTCTGGGGTTACAGCAAAATGCTCCCCACTCCATAAGAAATAAAAACAGCTTCGTTAGTCATTATTATACTTGTTTGGCTAGTATCGTTACAGTAATTATGATCATCTTGCTGTGTCGTGTAATAAAATTCACTTGTTGAGCTTTGCTAAACATCTTTGGAGGTAATTGAATGCATATCCGACTCACACAATGACTTGTAGTGGCCTACCGATGTATTAAGTCAGTGGTGTTATCCTTTCAGGCAAGTCTAGTATCAAATTGCCGATCCCGATGAGATGGAGGGCTTGGTGGGCCCAAGGTGCGGGATCGAACCAAAGACCGCAGGTATCTCTTACCACCGCGCTATGCGTCTCTCCACCTCCATCAATATAACCAGTATTAATCATTAAAGGTATATCCTATAGCAATAGCAATAACGAAAAGTCCCGCCTGGTAAATCGTACGAAGACGAGCATTCTAAATTGCTCATTGATATAATCGGCTACCGCAGTTGACAAAACGGACAGTCTTAACCCTTTTATTTACTGCCTTTTTCTTCTTAATAACAGGGTATGTTGCGAAATATAACTCGTATGTAATGCTGAGATATTTGCAAAACTCCGGACCGCAGGTGTATGCGGTGAGGGACGAACACGCGCTGTTGTCCTTACCGGGGATCAGCGCACTTCATCACCACACCATCCGGGTCCTTCGTTTTGCTTGTCTCTCAGCTAGTTCTATCGCTCTTTTTGCCATCAGCAATCACCCGTCAACGGGATTGATCTGGGAGCCTAAATCGGCATTGAACCCAGTTAAGCTGAGGCTTAGCTGAGAGACAGGCAAAACGAAGGACCCGGATGGTGTGGTGATGAAGTGCGCTGATCCCCGGTAAGGACAACAGCGCGTGTTCGTCCCCCACCGCATACACCTGCGGTCTGGAGTTTTGCAAATATCTCAGCATTACAAAACGGACAGTATTCCGCCTCGTAAACTATTGAACGCTTCCCGGTGTCTTGTGGAGAGCATTAGAAAACAAGAGTCAGTTTTAAGCTTCGCTAATCTCATGCATCACCCCAGTGTTGATAAAGACATTGAGAAAGTGAGAATAACCGTGCTAAAAACCGGAAAAAACTAATGAATAACAAAAATACTCTACTCGTGATTAAAAATCTAAGCAACGAGGTAGAAAAGTGATAGTTCAGGTGAATAGTAAACCAAGGCAGTGTAGAAATCCCAGCAAAGTGCACGTCCATTCAACAAAAGGCGAAGTGCGAGGCAAAACAATTCTATTGGGATTTTGGGAATTTCATTTTGTCTTTCATAAAAAATTACGAAGACAGATTATTCATGTATGTCATCGATTTGTGCTCATCTCCCGAGATAGTGAAAGTGAGTAAACAAAGGTTCATTGCAAATCTAACGCGGACTCAACTCGGAGTGAAGTAGAGGTCTCACTACTATTTTGCTTTCTTAACCAAAAGACCAGTCTGTTCCCTATTTCCAAGCTCATTTAAAAGTCTGTCCCCCCCCCCCCCCCCCAAGAAAAAAAAGTGAACTGGGCAAAAGTTTGCTATTAACATCACTCAATACCTTCTCGCATCGTCGTTTCTACTCTTTTGACACCTCACAGTAAGTACTTGATGTTGAAAATCCAATGAAAGGTGATTACGACTTCACGAAAAGTCTCATTTAAACCACATTGCCCCTTAATCTCTTACTTTTATAACTTCACATTCCACAATAAAAGCTGTCCTATTTTGATTATCCTTTTCGATTGTTAAACTAACACGAGATTGATGAAGATGTTTATTCGGACAACGCTTCGACGTCTTCATCTTCCTCAGAGCGGTTGATCCCAGGCGATGGTCCACCGTCGTTCGTCTTCTTGATGTCGTGCCTTCGTCGTTGTGTCGAGCCGAAGCTTCTTCAATGGAGTACCGCTAGAATGGAGCAGCCTTATCAGGCAACAGTCTTTTCATTATGATGAAGGTGTAGCATTAGCGTTCCACCCTCATAAGCAAAAGTTATGATTCAAGCAGGTTTTTCAAATTCTAAGATTTCCATCTTATGAGAAAGTCCATATTTTGTTTCTACGTCTAGGTGTCACACTTTAATATTCCAGTAGTATCGCAGTATATTACTTGCGCTATAAGAAGGCGGAATCGTTAATTCTACAACTACGTCTAAATTTTCTACATAGAGTCATGTTCTTCATTGAAAAGCCCAGGGCTTATATCATAACGAGGGATAGTAATAAAATGGAACACAGTCAAAACAGTCACCAAAGTTCACTTGGGGTACACCCGTACTGCAGTCGGTAACGTGTCGTATTCTTATGGTCATGAGTTTGAGCCTTACAAAGACACAGGTTTAGTACTTCCTCTGTTTGGTTATAGAGGTGTTTACCTGGGTAGATTGCAGTTAACCTGACCTTTCCAGGCTTTGAGGAAGGCAAAATCTGCTAAAACGTCAACTTGTTTATAAATGAGGAATAAATTTGCAACTTTCTGTTTGTTCATCAAGGAAACGGTGAACTAGTCGATCAACGCGGAGGTTAATAGAAAATCGGTCGTCGGAATACAACAGTCAGTATTCTTAAGCCATCGAGTTACCCGTAGACATTGTTTTAAAGATTCAACAACGAAGAACTATTTCAGTTTTAGAAAGATTTCCCTTTAGGATCGGCGATGGAAAGAAGAGTACGGAATATATCTGTCATCTCAGAACTGAACGAAATGTTTTAACCTTTTATTTGCTGCCTATTTTTTCTTTTAGCGAGGTAGCACTACTAAGTACAACCACATGTATGCTGGATGAAGTGGTCAAACGAAGTGTGCTATCTGTGACTTCACAATGCAGTGAGTTGATCCACAAAGACGGTAGCGATATGAATAACAAAGACTGTGTATTGCTACACAGGAAAAATCAGTACAACAACACACTGCTCACTTTATGTCAGCATGAAGGTGAAGGGCCAAAACTAAAACAATAAGTGAAGTTCATCAACGGTTTAACCAGCATTACGCAAGGTCGTAGAAGTTTTAAAACTTTTTACAGTGTCTCCAACCTATCCCTCTAGACCCTCTATTTTTTATTTAATTTTAGACTAGTTTGTATATTTAGGAAACTCCCTTTATCGAACAGAAACTACAAGACTGTTCAAGTCCTTACTACGTTTCACTGCGTAGTGGAACGCACAACGTATGAAAGAGCAAATGAAAACATTGTCAAGTGCCGTCTTCTGAATTTGTACAACGTTTGAAATCAAAACCGAAATCGTGAAAAGTGGATGTAAAACGTTTTATTTTCGCTTTTTTTATAAGTGGAAGACCAGAAATTAAACTTTTGGAAAAAGAAAAAAGGCAGTCTGGCTACTGCACGGTAGTCGAAGATGTTCATGAGCTCCCATAAAAGCTCACTTTCTTTAGCTTCCGGAATTCTGTATCTTTATTTGCTTCAATAAGGAATTAAAATATGTCGACATTTGGAAGGGTCATCTCATTTACACGCCGTACCGACCTTATCTGTATTCATTGGTTTTAACTGGGCAGTTCGATGGCTTTTCTGGAGAGCGTGAACACGGGTCCAGAAACATTGCTTCTGCTGGCGAAACGGAGAGAAAGCTTAGTCTCCCGATCTAATTAAAAGATAGAAGAGCACATTTTACTAATATTTTAAACTGGAACTGGATAACATTCATCGTAAGAGGTACAGTACCGTTTACACAATTGATCTACTGCTTACTTTTTCATAGTTCACTTTTAACTTTGAAAATAGACTTGTAAACTCCTAGTGCTTTAGATTCCCACATACAGAGTATGGCCAGTGACAAAAGATGGATGATCCCTTAAGGTTGCGCCATGCATCCGGGTTTATTAAACACCAAAGATGATTTCATGCATATTTGACCTATGGGATGATTTTTGAGAGCTCAGTGAGATATCAACTGTGTCTTTGTCACATAAAACTAGCCTGCTACGATTACGCATCTGCCGACCTTGGGGAAATGTTGGGCTTTGCTTTCCACGGGAGTGGGATCAAGCAAACTGTGGCTTCGATGAAATCTAAGAAGCAGAAGCTCTAGTCTAATAAACCAGAGGCTAGTATAAAATTGTGGCTGCCTCATTTCTCTGACACCTAAATTTTCGCCACGTTCGCTATGAGTCGAATCTAACTCACGCCATCCATTTGGTGTATATACGTGGAAACGTACTCAAGCCTAGCTCTGAGCGTTAATAATGTTGCCTTTTCTAGTCAAGGTCCGTGTTCGTTGATGTGCTGACTAAATCTTGTTGCGCGGTATTTATATTTTCCTTCAACAAACACTATACACTGGCTACATTTCATCTCTCAAATAAAAGTAATGTAGCTGATCCCACGGCGACTGAAGATTTTGTTTAAAATCCCACAACTAAATGTAGAGAAATTGCTGGGAAACTTTGCCCTAAAGTGCAAAAAACGGAACATTTACAATTTTTAGCGAGTATGAAGGGTTGAAAAAGGGACATAGACGTTCATTGTCGAAGTGATGTTGCCACGAAAACAAAACGGAAAACAGACATGATAACTCTCCGCGCACAGCGCTTCTGCCATCTGGAACTCCGTCATTTGAGGGGTTTTATCGTCGGCAGACACGCAAACATCCGTTTTTCCGATTGATCTCCGGATGGCAGCTCAAAGTTGTGAAGGTTTTTCTTTATGTTGAAGGCTTCATTGAAATATTACGCACTTGAGAAACTACGTCCACGTCAACTTTTTATTTACTGCCAACTATAATTTATGCTTACCAGATCAATCCCGTTGATGGGTGATTGCTGATAGCACAGGTAGATAGAAAACTAACTGAGAGAAAGGCGAAGTGCATGGTGTGGTGGTGAACGCCTTAGCCCCAGAAAAAGACAATAGCGCGTTCGATCCCCACCGCAGACATCTGAGGTCCGAAGTTTTGCAAATATTTCAACATCACTGCGGGTGCATTTCACATACTCCTGTTAATCCCGAGTCCGACTTTCTATTAACCTCGGCATTGATTGAATATATCTTTCTACTTCTGTTCAGCAAACAGGAGGTGCTATTTTATTTCTTTATTTACGCACAAGCTGACGTTTCGGCGGATTTCGCCTTCCTCAGATTTCCTGTCATTGTCACAATGTGACATTACGCTTCCATGTGAATTTGGTGCGGTCGGTCTTCACGCGACATACTCAGTGGAAGACTCATAGAAAGCGGCTCTGAGGAAGGCGAAATCCGCCGAAACGTCAGCTTGTGCGTAGATAAAGAAATAAAATAACTCCTGTTAATATTCAATTTTCAGCTCTGAGTGTGCACATCTCAGCTCATAATAAACAATGCAATCATAATAAAACCACTAGAAGTTGCTCACCTTGCCACCAACGAGATAGAAAGTTGATCTATTCAATCGCGTGATAAAATTTTTGTCCCCCAATCTTTTGAAGGATCTCTGAGCACGAATGGTTGGCTGGTACGGATTTTACTCAAGAAGTTAACGAGGTGTTTGAGAAAGTGGATGTCAGTTAGAGAGATAAATAGATAGAGCCATTTAGCACGCTAAATGAAGCGTTATTCCTCATTTGTTTCCAAACTTTCATGTTTTTGCTTCAATTTCTCAAAGAAAGAAATCCTACTTTGCAATGATTCTCCTTCCTTTTCCAACACTCTAAACTCAACGCAGACTGGTACAAGAGCGAAAACCTTAACATCGAGTTTAAGCAACTCTACAAAAAAAAGGATGTACAATAAACGAGAACCTAAACCCGCATTTTGAAATAAGGGTTTCAGCTTTTAAAAGTCAAATACATAAGATTTCTGGCAACCGAATAGATGGGTCCTACATGCAAGCACAAATAACGTGGTCTTAAGGCGAACCTCCTTCAAAATCCAGCTGATGTCAGTTGGCAGTTAAAGATTTCCACGATTCTTTTTCGTAAACGTAAGTTACATTTGTGTTAAGGATGATCCCAACTGTATATTCGTTCTACTCTTGACCCATTAGCAAGAATGTGATGAATACTTTTCTATTCCTCTTCAAAATAACAGACCTAGGATATTCTGGAATGTTTAAGACCAGCCGGAATCGCTCGGTGATTAAAGGAAAAACTATTGATTTGTAGTAAATCACACATATTGTAGACAAATAAATAGACATGTACATATCATAGATGTACTATTTGGATAGTAAGTTGGATAAGCCATCATCACAAGTGGTTAGAGCACTAGCATATTCTACACTCGTTTCTGTTACCGTTCAAGGGCAACCCAAGTCTACGCTGCATAACACAGTGCTTTTTGTTGCTGGATTCCCTAATAGGCACAAGCGCGGCCCATGGTGCTTACTTGACACCCTAGCACACTATACAAGGAACGTAGACATCTGACAAAGTTCTACTCATTTTGAAATATTTTCAAAAGACCATTCCGTAGGCGTCTGTGGAGCGGATCGAACACGCTACTCTTTTTGGTGCTATCGTGTTCACCGCCACGTGCGGCTCCTTCGTTCCGCCTTTCTCTCAGCTGTGTTTTATAGGTGCTACCAGCAATCAGTCGGCAACGGAATTGATCTGGATAGCACAAATCGACAATGAACCCAGTTAAGCTGAAGCTGTAGTATAAATCACAATCTAGTAACCTTCTATTTATTCCCCATTCTTTTTTATGGTAAGGTATACTGCAAAACATTACTACAATGATGTTAAGATATGTGCAAAACTCCGGCTGACAGAAAGACGAAACGAAGGACCTACATGGTGTGGTGGTGAACGCGTTAGCCCCTGGAAAGAGTAATTGCATATTCGATCCCATCGCACTCACCTGCGGTCTGGAGTTTTCCAAATATCTCTGCATCATAATGGTTGTATTCCACAAAATACCATGCCGTAAAAAATTGTAATAGGCAGTAAATAGAAAGTCAGAATTCTACTTAATTTATCCAGCTGGATGTAAAACTGCAAACAAGCACTGTGGCTCTCAACTACTCCATTATCTCTCCAAGACTAGTAGTAAGTAACACTATACACTTGAATGAAATTGGCCGAAGTACAGTTCCACTCCATTCCGCTTCTATTGTAAACAAAAATGCTGGTCGTTATGGTTCTAAACCTGGTGCAAAAACCATCTACGCCAATAACGATAGACATGGAGTCATCCAGACCGAACTTTCACAGTTCACAGTACCTTCTAAAGTGAATTCTTCATCCCTTGGAAAAAATAACATGTGCCCGCACGCAATGTCCAGATGCGAAACTATGTAAATATCTAGTTATACGACAAATGTGTAGAACGGAACACGAAGGCTGTCATTCCTTGAATTGTTTCCTCGAAAGGTGACTGTATTCTACACAATAACTGAAGACAACCACAAAAATGATGAGATATGCGCACTCGGAATCTCCCGGGTGCTTCGAATCCCCGTTTACCCTTACCGGAGGCTTTCGAAATATCGACCACGCCAACTGCAACCCTCGTTTTGCATCTCTTTCGCTCATACTTTAATTCCTATCTCACATTATATCCTACCACGAAAATGAAGAGGCAGTAAATGAATGTTAGAACACTGTGACTAGCTGAATACTTTACCTGCGTATCTATGTTGCCACACGCAGGACGTACGACTATTCGAACTCGTTTTAGCCTTCTGTGCAGGGCGAGCTTCCCTCCGTTTAGTAGCAAAGTATACTTGCTGAGATATTTTAGCAGCACGTCACGCCATCGTGCACGTGGTCCCCTCTGGTGTCCCTAATCTCCACACCTCTCTTCCATTTGTCCACAGAACATTCGAACAGTGTATATCACTTATTTTCATTTCAAGCGAAATTGTAGAGCATATTCAAACAAACCAACACTACCCAATCTGCCTTCGGTTCCAGGTATTTGCACCTAACACCATATACCACTGGCACAGAATCCTCAGCCAATTTTGATTTCGACATGTATGCATAGGTTGTAGAAAAAGGAATATATGAGATAACAATTTATCAACGAAACAACCGTTAAATGTTTACGCACGGATGCCAAGATCTTTCGCCCTAGCTTTCTCCAGTCTAAGCTTTTTGGCTTCCGACCTAGCAGACATAATCCCGCCTCCCCAATGCTTTCTGATTTCTTCACCTCGTTCATTAAAGTTTGTCGACACAGTCTCGATCAGCTTTGATAATGCAGATCTGTCCTCACTGCAAATGAATATATATATATATATATATATATATATATAGCGATTAGAAATTTGATATAGTCCATCTAATATTAGCATAACGAACGGATTAACGTCAACAATAGCAACGGCAGAGGTGGTCTTGCGCCTTACAACGGTTCCCAACGCGGCTTTCCCTCTAATGATACCATACGGAACATTGAACTTTCGGCACAATGCAGGCAGGAAGAGCACGATTTCGATTGGATCAACATCATGAGCTATAAGGACCAGTTGAGCCTGAATGAAAGGAAAAAAAATAGTCTTAGTCACATAGGCCGACATACCGAATGGAAAGAATATTCAAATAATAACCCTTCGAGTTTCAACGAGACGAGTAACAGTGTTTACGCCATGACGTACAACCGGTGGACGTTTCGTAATCTCCTCAGCCTTTCCTGCAGCACGAGCTTCCGCACGAGCACGTAGACGCTCCTTTTTCTTTTCCTTAGATTCAGGACGATACTTATTTAGAAGACTGAACAGCTGAGAGGCTGAATAATGTGAAATGAAAACTATTGGCATAAACACGATCTAATTCGAATGTACCCACATGTCTGTTTATCAACTGCTGTTCTAAATTGGTTCACAGGTGGTGGTATCTTCAGACGTCTTTGCAGAACAGCTTTCTGACGTTGTAAACGGATATATTTGGGCCATCTCACAAATCTAGTCACATCTCTCTTGGGCTGAATGTCACAACCTGAATCATTTCTAGGAAAGGATGGCAACAAATGAATGTGGCAAAGAAGAGAAAGAAAAAAAACTGGTGAGAAAGACTGGAAATGATGTCAACTAAAAAGACTAAAAGGTACTTTCCGTCCTACATTATGGCATAGCTATACCAAAATGAATTGCAACGTTATAACACCATAACAGAAAACAATTCAGAACATCTAAATACCTACCCTTATCACTCTTTATCTCCCTAGCCCCAAGCCCTCATTAATCATTAAATGTTTCCCTTTTCATAAAAATACATACAAATACATATCATTCACCGAAAAATACTCTAGTATCCAATAAACTTTGTCATAAAACATGCCATAAACATTTCCCTCTTGGTGCCATATTGGCCCATCTTGCATGCTGATTTGCTAATGACCTAGATAGCTAGAACCCCGTAACATTCACAATGAAAGAGGACTGACCGATATTGAAGTTCCTTGCCCTCTTCTCAAACAGAGGATTCTTCACCTCCTTCTGGGCAGCCGCAACACGCAGCTGTGCCGGCGGTGCGGCAACCTTCTTCTTGATGATCTTCTTCGAAGGCTAGAAACACTGTCGAATAGGCAAACTCGAATGTCCGAGAACGTTGCCAAAACATTAAGTGCATAAACTCAGGGTGAAGAATTTGTTATAACCAAAAATCCACAAATCTTTGCACAAAAAAAAACTACTAAACAAGAACGCAAAACGACCTACGTACCATGATCAGGCGATTTGTAGGCCCAGAAATGAAACCTCGTCCGACACTGTAACCCTCGCCGCCTGTCGTCCAACCGCAGAGAAGCAGATGCGCGAAATTCACAACGTATTTATTAGAGCACGTTTGTGTCACACAGTTCGAAATTGTCCAGTTCAGTGGCTTGCCTATGGAAAAGGTCCTCAGTCCTGATTATCGTTTTTCTTTTCCTTTTTGCATTGTGGTTTGTCGTAATTTCATTATTCTAGAGGGTTTCTTTTGTCGTTGCTTCTATTTTATGGAGTTTTCTAACTAGGAAAATTTGCGTCAATACTTGCCGTTCTATTAATCGTAAGGAAATAGTTTTCTCTTTCTTTTTCAGAGGTCGCTCTCTTTCTGATGTTACTTGCCGCTCAATCATAACCTTATAAGAGTAATGTCGTCAACCCAGACTTCTGAAGTCTGTCCAGTTGTCCGTGAACTGTCTGAAGATGACGCGTTGGGTGAGTGTTATAATAACTGTGCCGTTTTCTTGTTCAGCAATCGCGAAGTTTTTAAACAGCATACATCTACTTCCATAAAAAACACAATACAATACAACGCTAGCTGACGTTTCGGCAGTAACGTCTTCTTCAGAGCCTGGAAGGGTATACTGATATACAATCTACTAGGCCAAACGCTTCAATAACACTTACAGAAAGACGAAAGACTCTTTGGTAATTACATGAACAACAACTTCTCGAAAAAACCCACCGCTTTTTCGTGACTTCCAATGAGGAAGTTTAGAACAGGAAGTTTTTCGAGAAGTTGTTGATCGTGTAATTACCAAAGAGTCTTTCGTCTTTGTGTAAGTGTTATTGAAGCGTTTGGCCTAGTAGATTGTATATCAGCATACCCTTCCAGGCTCTGAAGAAGGCGATACTGCCGAAACGTCAGCTAGCGTTGTATTGTATTGTGTTTTTATGGAAGTAGATGTATGCTGTTTAAAAACCTCGCGATTGCTGAACAAAAAAAAACGACACATTCATATTCCAACGCCGAGGTTAAGAGAAAGTCGATCCTTTTTCTTCGTTTTTCATCTTTACGTTATTTGACGTTCGTCACCATATACAGAATTCGTTGTTATCTCTGAAGCGTGTAGCGCAGTGGTCGGATGCGCCCTGCAATGCAGACTTGTCTGGGAGGATAGCAACTTTGGCTCGATACATTAGTAGGTCACTGCGAGTCATTGTAAAGGCCAGATACTCCTTCAATCACCTCCAACGATGCTTAATGAAATCGAATGCGTGGCGTATCCGTCAGGGATTGATCAACGCCGAGAGCTCTATTCTTTGTCCTTTTATTATTCCTAAAGCGCTCTGTCAGTACTATGTACAACCACGTTACTATTCAGTAAACAATGAAAGAACACTAGGATTTAGGTATCGCCAGGCATGCGATACAGTTTTGCTTCCACTGCCTGCGAAAGCGACTACAAGACCGATTTAATGGCAAGGAAGTTCTCTATCCAAATGGGCCACCTCCTTGGATCGGTACGGTAAAGCAGTGGTATGAACACTTACTAAATGGTACACCTCACCACCTATGATGTCTTATATATTGGTCTTTAGGTGCTTAGCGACATTAAAATGTGAAATTTGTATAAAATATATGAAAGACGGAACGAAAGACTCGCATAGTGTGGTGGTAAACACATTATCCCCGAAAGGGTAATAACGAGGTTCGATCCCTCGGAGTTTTGCAAATATCAGCATCATCGTGGTTGTATAAAATTTTTTCTTGAGCAAATTCGAACTAAATGGAATAAGAGTTAACTAAGTTTCACGCCAAGCGTTTTTGTAAGCTTAGGTTTACAAGTGCGTCCTCATAGTGGAATAGAAGTAGGCACAAGTTTGAGAATCTTCTACTCATAGGTGCTACCTAGCAGGCACCTAAGGAGATTCCTTGGAAACTATTTGTAGACTACGTTGGCTAACTGAACGGAGTTTAATTATATAAGGGCTACCTGATCTCAATAGAATTCTACTAGTTTACACTTCACATTTCCGAAGTCTCTACTAATGTTAACCTTTTATTTGATGCCTGCTATGATTTTTCACGGCATCGTATGATGTGAAATGCAGCCACAACGATGCTGAGATAATCGCAAAACTTGGTCCGTCGGCCAAATCGAACCACGATTTCCCTTTCCGGGAGCTCGCGTATTACACATTTCACCACGAGGCCCTTGCTTTGCATTTCTGTCAGCTAGTTTTCTACCTAAGTCTCCACTAATTTTATGCTCTTATAGCGGTCCCTAATAAAGAAGTCGATGAGCCTTCATGTGAAGGGAAGCAGCTCAATAAGAGTCCTGGAGAATCTTCGAGAAAACGCAAATGGGTAACATCTTTAATTGTTATTATTGGAGGTTTTTATTAGTACCAATCCTGGATAAACCGTTGTTTTTTAGGATTTGAAGATGGCTATTCTAAAAGAGGACGTGGATGAGCACCTCTATAAGCGTTCTTTCGAATTATCTGATGGTCACTTGACATACGAGATCATGAAGTTGAAAAGTTTGAATAGGTGCGTTGACATATAGTTCTGCCTTAGGTGCTCATAAAGCTTTGAGTCACGCTGCTAGCTTTTTAGGAATGAAGCTCATAAAGCCATGATAGAGCTGCGTCAGCGCGTAAGGACTGAAAGAAACGACTTGTCGAAGAAACCAGATGAAGTTATCCAAAGAATCAATGTTATTCTTAACTTTTTCTTTGCTGTACCACTTCAACCAAGATTTACTCTTGTAGTTTGTTAAGTTTAGGCTCGCAAACAACTTCCTTGGTGTCCCACTGCTCAGTCCTTGTTTCCCCGTGGAGTACTTTCGGTTTGTCATTGAAATGCTTCGTTCTGTCTCTTGCCAAGTTAAATACTTCTTTTAAGGTTCTCAGTCAAACAGAGCAGATACGATTCTTAGCTATTTGCCAGAACATCTTAAGTTTATCTCCGCTTCGCTTCACGCATAATTTGAAGGAGATCAAGGTTTGTTGTTTCGTAATATTCTTTCCAATCTTATGTCAACGACATGCCATTGGCGAAAACGAATTGAGTTTGCAAATAGGATGTGTTCAAACCTTTCTCACAGGAAAAGTACTGTTCTATTTCCTGAGTGGGGCTATTTTCACGAGAATTTTCGAAGTGCGAAGTAGCGTTTTCTCAATTGTCAAATATTATCGTAGAACCGCTACTTCCAATCCACTGCGTAAGTTATATTCGAGAAGTTGACTGTAAAAAAGGATAGAGCTCTCGGCGTTGATCAGTTCTTTCGTTATGCGCCATTCATTAGACTTCATTAAGCATTGTAGGAGGTGAGTAAATGCATATCTGGTCTTTAAAATGAGTCGCGGTGGCCTACTGCTGTATCGAACCAGTGCTACTATCCTCCCAGACAAATCTGATACCAATTTGCCAACCCCAGAGTGATAAAAGGCTTGGTAAGGCTCAAGTGGCGCGATCGGTCCCATGCGTGTATTGCAGGGCGCCTCCGACCACTGCTCCACACACGCCACTAAGGTTGACTATAGTTGCAAAATAATTATGTAGAACTGACTGAGATAAAGGTGAAACGAAAGACCCACCTGATGCAGTGATGAATACGTTAGCTCCCGGAAAGGGTAATAGCGCACTTGATCCGCGCCGCAGACACCTTCAGTCTGGGGTTTTTGCAAACACCTCAGCATTATCATGAAAAAAGTTAACGTTATTTGTGGTGTTACAGGATTTCCAAAGAAAAGTCTTGCACGAACGCCAGTTCATGGCTTCGTCGGTGGTGGATATGATAGAGATGAACCTTGAAAATGACATAACCGTTCCTATTGTGCATCCGCTTGCTTTCCGACATCATCTATCACCTGGATTCATAATGGTGTGAACGTCCAATTGTTTTTTCTTCGTGTTCGTATGTGAATTTGATGTGTGAAGGGTGATTGTCTTAGGAATTTTTCCTCTATGTTCAAATCACCCCCCATAGCTGATCTTTTTCAGCGACGTTGGCAAAAGCGATGGGATGACGAAACATCGGAAATCAATTTCGACTTCGATGACGTCGTTTCCTCTATTGAGTGGAGCATCCGCAGTAGTCGTAACGATTCGAAAATGCGTCCTGAACTTGTCACAACTCTTCTTAAAGGACGTGGCGATAGAATCCAAGTTTGTTCTGGATCTTGCTCGAAAATACTTTTTGCATAATTATCTGGTAACTTTAAAAGTATTGTATAAAACAGTTCATGTTTAAGATCTGAAGTGTTTAGCGTTAATTCGTTTTATTCATAGCTGACTTGTGGCCAACTCCGTATTTCCGAAAATTTCCTTGTGTTTTCAACTTTTATATATTTCTATCTTGATTAACTTATTTGCTTTTCAGCTTCCAAACCTTCGTAATCGCTGCGTATTGGACTCCTCCAGATTGTACGCTGATTTTCCTATATGGCAGTGTAACGAAAACCGAATTTTCAGTGATATAGAGGTAGGCCTGTGGAATGTTATCGAGTATTTTTCGAAGAGAAGTAGGGTACTTTTTACAGGAACTGATTTGTTGTTTGTTTTTACCTTTCCTGACTTTAACGGAGACTATTTACTTTTGATCCTCCTCGAGTTCCTGCTAATAGCTCTTTATGAATTTGCTTGGACCAACATGAAGTGTTTGTCACGTTCTGTACAAGATTTGCCACTGTTTAACTGCGTGCAATTGTAGGGATCATCAACTTCACATTGTCGTGCTTAACAAATCTCTACATTTATTATAATAATAACGGTATTCTTTCCTTTCAATATGTTTACCATGGTGTTTCGTATTTAGAACTAAGCCTTAGCAATATCTTTGAGTTTGAGATATCTGTATTCTTACTTACCTGTTTGGACAGTTGGATGGCTCTTCCTCACAGATTGTCTGGGTACCAGTTTAATTTCCATTTTTTCGGATTTTTTTTCTTGTTTATCCATTGTGGTTCCCTGGACTCTTGAGGTCACCCTGGCCAAAGTCTGTCCCAGGTCGTCACCACCACAGGTAGTTGCCGCCCTTGTGGATCACAGGGAGATTTGCCACTATGCGACTACTTTGATACCAGGACGGTGGTTTATCCTGGTATTGGTTTACTGTTAGCTAAGCTCCCGGATGAAAACGCTGGACTTCTCAGCTTGCGAGACTGCTGGGGGATGAATCCCCCCACTGTACATTGCAGCGCGATACTCAGGAAATCCTCCCAGTCACGATGAGGCAGTAAATCGTTGGCAGTGGAAGTGCTAGTAGTGGTTTTAAACAAGAACTAATGGTCCCCGTAGTTCTATTTTTATTTCAGAGTCTTCCATACAATTTAACTTTTTTTTGCTTTGTTTTGCACTCATTTTTTTTTCAGAATGTAAGCACACTTTGCCTTGACAACGGTGTTCGCATAGCGATGGATGCCACCACCGCATGTCATCTGATGTGTGATCCTTTTGTCGGTCACAACTACTCGTACGTTATTCCCATCCGTGTGGTTCAAAAAGTAAAGAAAGGTATGTGTGGTCATTAACATACATTGTTTTATAACTTGTAGGCTGACTTTATTCTCCTTTTTTCAGGAATAGTAGCAGACATTGCAGTTCTCGATAAGCCACGAATTCTCAATACTGTCGACCCTGCTACCGTTCAAAGACAATTCCTTAAGTATTTGCTGAAAACCACATTTACCTTCAAGCGAAGTATGTTGTATTTTATGAGGTGGCAGAATTAGCGTACATATTTTTTTTGTGCTCTGGGCCAGGATCTGTTCGTCTTTCATATGAAAGCTTGAACTTAAAGAGCTTCATTGTTTATTTTCCTTAGTTCCTGCGCAGAATTGGAACCTTTGCCATCGATTGAGTTCACCTTTTGTTTGTACGAAATCATGTGAATTCTAGGGTAGAGTTTTGTTGTCTTCGAACCTATTGTTGAGAAGTCAGTTAACTCTTTATGATTTTCCAACGTATACATTTCTTGGATTCCAACTTCGTCTGGGGTTGATGTTGAGATTTGAGCAACCCGTTTTAATCTTTGGTCGTACTTTTTTCGGTATGATCCGGCATTGCTTGTGCGTATTTCAGCAAATCTTTCGTCCAAATCGTTCTTCAGAATCCGTTCTCCACGAATCTCTTAATTTTGCATGTGGGTTGGGCTGCCATAGGAGAAATTTTATCTTCTTCATGAATGTCGTTGGATGCGTGTCGAAAAGTTTTTCTTCGTATGTTGAGAGAGTTGTACTAGGACGCTCCTACTAGGAGTACTAGGACATTACAACAGGTGATTGCCAAAGTTTATGGATCGGAGAAAACTTTTCCAAGGTAAGTATGCTATCACCTTGCCGACGGGAAGAGATTGGCGACTTGGTTGGCTTGCTTTGAAGTGGAATCAGCTACCGTACGTGTATTATTGTATAGCGTATCTAATCATTATGCTCCGATTACCCGTTCTTCTTCGTTCGACCATTTCATGAGTTAATTTCTTTTTCTCTGAACCTGTAGGAAAATGTAATAGTTTTGATTCCTTCTTTGGCCTCACTACCCGATTTTTTACTCCTCACGTCGAGTGGAGCTAATTGCTTAATTTGTAATTCATTCGTTTATGCTCAACACTTTTAGGTGAATCTCCGTTAAAATATGATGCCAAAGGGCCATCACCGAATACGGAATCTATCGGTAAAGACCAAAGGTATATGGTTCAATAAATCGTGAATAACATCTTTGCCATTCTACAAGATAATAGATAGGCTAAAATGTATATGCATGTATATATACATTTATATATATATATATATATATATCTATAAATATATCCTCCCAACGGTTTATCGCGTCGTCGTGGCTGGGAAGTATTCCTGGCTGTGGGTCTGCGAATTAAATCGGGGGATTCATTCCTCCAGCAAAGTCTCCCAAGCTGAGAAGGAGTACGGCGTTTCCATAAGGAAGCCGAGCTAAGAGTAAACCAATACTAGGGTCCGTCACCGTCCTAATACCAGACTAGTCGCATGGTGGCAATTCTGCTTCTGATCCACAAGAGCGGCGGCTGCCTGTGGTGGTGACGAATTGGGCAGACTTTGGCCTGGCCAACCTCGGGGTTTAGAGAAGCACAGTGGCTAAACCAGCAAAACTCTGAAAAATGGAGATTGTGCTGGGGTCCGCGCAAGTAGTGAGGACAGGTCATCCTGGTATCCAAGTATATATTTATACATACATGTGTATATACACATACATATATACATGTGTATGCATACTTATATACGTATATTTGTACATATGTTTATATGCTCCTGTGTACGTATGTATCTATATGTTTGTAAATAATGCGTTGTTTAAGCGACTTCTGTGCGCCTCTCGATTCTATACTTCTTTCGTTGGATCACCCATCCATCCAAGCGACTTCTCATCTGCCTAAACAGTCAGAAAATCGTATGTTTCAACATTTTTTCAACGGTCTTCTCTTATTTTCGGTGGTATTATTGCTAAGGAGGAGATGTTTTAGACAAAACCTATTCACTCTTTTCCATTATGGGATCAAATATTTTGGTTCGATCTCGTCCACCGCTACTATGTTCAGAAGGTCGTCCACCGCTTAAGGGTTCCACATTATCATTCCAACCGCGAGTTGAATACGTTCCTAACGCTGGAGCTATGGTTCGTTGCTATGAATTTTTATCTCACGCTTGTCCATTTTTTTTCATTGTACGTCTTTTTTTGCTTCGTGTTTCGAAATTTGTTACGTAAATATGTGTTTGCTTAGTTTTGTTTTTATCCCATAACACTCGAGGTGCATTAATTTCAATGCATTTTTTGTGGACAATCGTGGCCGCTCTGAGAGCTAACTGGTCACGTCTTGGTTCAATGTGATCAGAATTTCAGCTCTCTAAATTCTTTTTTCCAAAGTCGACCATTTATTTCCCTCCATCCCAATATGTTCACACTTAATTCATTCTCCGTGTAGTGCTGAGGCCGGTTGCACCTTGCAATACACATAGGATCGATCCCCTCTCCCTTAGCCCTATCATCCCTCCGGAGTTGGCAAATTGGTACCAGACCTGTCTGAGAGGATAGCAGCACTGGCTCGATACATCGGTAGGCCATCACGAGTCACTATAAAAGCCAGATATGCATTCAATCATCTCCAATCGATGCTTACTGTGTAGTGCATCCATCAAGGATTGATCAACGCCGAGAACATCATCTTTACTTTTTTAAATCCTGTCTCCACGTAGTATCTACTTCGCATCTGTATACTCTCCTCAGCTTCTAGTATAGACTGTTGATCGGCAAATTATCGTTAGTTGTCTAAAAAAGCATGAGCGAGCGCTATTTGTTAAAACTCGTTTATAGACATTGTAGACATTTCTGTTTACCTGTTCAGTGACAATGTTGCATGTTTTATTTACCGTCTATTATTTTTTCATGCGGTGTATGATGTGAAGTACAGCTACAAGGATGCTGAGATATGAAGAAAACTGAGAACCTCACATTGTATAACCCGCGACTACCTTTAGGAGGGCTTACGAGTTATCCAACGCACCAAACGAGGTCCTTGCTTTGCCTATCTCTGAGCCAGTTTTTGTTCCTTCGGAGCAATCATGAAAGGGTAATCACGGTTTCGAAGCCCACTTGAGAACCCGAATTTTGCTCATCTTTCAGCATCTTGTTCCTTTTTCAGTGTTTATTTTTAAGTGTTTGTCAGAGGAGGAGTCAATGTGGAATTATTGCAAAGGGATATTCAAGCAGTCTGCCTATCATGGTCTCTTCCGTACACACTATTCGTGAGTTGTTCATCGTTGTTGTTTTCGAATCCTGTAGGGACCTTTTATATCAGCCTAATTCTAATATTTGCGCAATTTGTTCATTTTACAACGCCTCTCTAACACATTTGCGACTAGGCTTGGTTGTCAAGTGCTGTGGCCTGGAAACTCCTCTACTTTTCCTTCACACGGCAAACTCATTAGATACTACTCGAGGTGCCCCTCCCAGACCGAAACACTGACGATGTCTTCTTTTGCACCGCCTGCTTTGTTATTTGAGCTTCAATATGTGTTTTTGACTAATTTTTTATATGAATGTGTCGTTTTCTTGTTCAGCAATCGCGAGGTTTTTAAAGAGCATGCATTTACTTCCATAAAAACACAATACAATACAACGCTAGCTGACGTTTCGGCAGTATCGCCTTCAGAGCCTGGAAGGGTATACTGATATACAATCTACTAGGCCAAACGCTTCAATAACACTTACACAAAGACGAAAGACTCTTTGGTAATTACACGATCAACAACTTCTCGAAAAACCCACCGCTTTTTCGTGACTTCCAATGAGGAAGTTTAGAACAGCTGATTATAGTCGCATGTGGTTGACGACTGCGCCATCCCACATCAAAAATCGATGCGAACGTACGGGATCAGGTCGCGTATGACCTCCGGGCATTCATCCCTGCTATTCATTGTAGGGTTTTTGGCATTTATCCAAAAAGCCTCAAGAGGTTTTCGCGCAGGTGTTTTATTCTCCTATGCAAGGATATTGACTTTTACTTCAAAATCGTCTCCGCTATGCTTTTGTATCCTATGCGTGCCTAGTGGGGTGCTTCGTCTTTGTTTTCGTATGCCATCTAGGTGTTCTTTTATACGGATACACAAAGGTCTGCCCGTTTCGCCAATATATTCATCTCCGCAATTATTACAAGAGATCAGCTATATCGTACCTGAACTCATGCAATCACCGTCCCTGCCGTAAGGGCAAATTACGCAATTTGTTGTTTCACACAGACGGTCATACAGGCGGTTGCGAAGTAATTGGCGACGTAGAGTAGTCGGTGGTATTTCAACTATCGCTACCGAAACGTCAGCTAGCGTTGTATTGTATTGTGTTTTTATGGAAGTAAATGTATGCTGTTTAAAAACCTCGCGATTGCTGAACAAGAAAACGACACATTCATATTCCAATGCCGAGGTTAAGAGAAAGTCGATCCTGGGAACTAATTTTTTATAGTTTTGGTTNACCGAAACGTCAGCTAGCGTTGTATTGTATTGTGTTTTTATGGAAGTAAATGTATGCTGTTTAAAAACCTCGCGATTGCTGAACAAGAAAACGACACATTCATATTCCAATGCCGAGGTTAAGAGAAAGTCGATCCTGGGAACTAATTTTTTATAGTTTTGGTTTTCTACACTTTCTTTGCGTTTTTCTGCATATTTTTCCTCATTTTTTTGAAAGTTTAAATATTTTATGCGTGGTGAAAAATCTATGTCTGCTTACGATCCACAGACATTGCTGTTTTATCTTTCTACTTCTGTTCAGCAAACACGAGCTGCTATTTTATTTCTTTATTTACGCACATGCTGACGTTTCGGCGGATTTCGCCTTCCTCAGAGCCTGGAAGAGTCAAGTTGACAGCAATCCACTCGGCCAAACACCTCCATAACCAAACAGAGAAAACGCTAAACCAAGATTTCAATCACATTTAGCATAGCTCTGCACGCTCACCGCTTTCTATGAGTCTTCCACTGAGTATGTCGCGTGAAGACCAACCGCACAGAATTCACATGGAAGCGTAATGTGCCCCTCCCATCAGAATAACAGGCTTATATACTGTCCAATATCACGCGTGATAACGAGGCATTCCTCCCTGCGGTTCATTTTCGAATTCTTGGAATTAATCCAGAATGCGTCTAGAGTTTTGCGCGCTTGTGTTCTCGATTCTTGCGCGAGGATCGTAACCCTTACTTCAAAATCTCCGTTATGTTCCTGCGTGCTATGCGTACCTAGTGGAGTACTTAGCTTACGTTTGCCGACTAGGTGTTCTTTTATACGTACGCAGAGTGGTCTACCCGTTTCACCAACGTATTTGTCCCCGCACGCTTTACAAGGGATCAGATAGACCCGAACTCATGCAGTCACCGTCTCTACCATTGGGACAAATTATGCAATTTTGCGCAGCACATAGACGGTCGTATGGGCGGTTACGAACTAGCTGCGCCTTAGATTATTTGGTGGTATTTCGATTATCGTTACCGAATTCTCTAGACTGGCCCTTCTTAAACAGCGTTTTATAGCTGCACTTACTTCATTTGAAATGAAGGGCAGTATAAACGGAACCTTGTTGTCGCTAGAGTTATCGTTGGGGTACCTGTGGTTTCCTCTACACCTATCTCGAGCTACGGTCTCGTAGCCGTTAAAAATGGCTATTTGTCGCGCCAAGTTCCGGGACTCCTCTCTCTGTTGTCTCCCTGTGCACACGCTGGTAGCTGTTCGATACATGTTTATCATAAGCGACTTTTTCGTGTGAGAGGGATGAGAGGAGAGGTAATGAACTAGGATGTTTTTACTACTTGGCTTTCGCTACCACTTCGTAATGTAGCTATTTTCTGATAGGCTAATTTGCACGTTCAGAAATGAAAGCCAGTCTTCTTTTGGTTTCTCTCGGGTGAATTTAATATACTCTGACTGTGTGTTCAACAACTCGAAACATCTGTCGATTTCTTCTTGCGTTGAACAAATGACCAAGCAGTCATCTATATATCTACAGTGGAGTAACGGATCGAGGTCGATTACTGGCGCTTCCACCTTAGACATGAATGCAATGGCAAGGCTTGGAGCCAGTCGTTGTCTCATTGCCAGCCGTCTCATTTGTGCGTAATACCTCCCAGACCATCTGAAGGTTGAGCAGTTCAGGCACTCCTTTAAGAGTGTCATCAACTGCTGAATCGAGAAGCCGTACATGTTTATTGCTCCCTCGTGTTGTATAAGGAGCTCGTTTATGGCTTGCATAGCGGGGTCATTCGACACGTTTGTATAGAGGGCAGTGACGTCGAAGGACTCCACCACGTACGCGCTGTTGGGTCGCGCGTTACGTAGACGATCCAGGAACATTTGGGTGTTCGTTAGATGAGCTGGAATGTACTTGAACAACTGAGTAAGTATTAGGGTTATTAACCACGTTATTCTATCTGTTGGCCCGTCCACGCAGCTAATGATAGGTCTAACCTTAAATAACGATGGATCGGTAGACACGAGATCATCTCTGGATACTAATGGGTTTTGATAAGTAAGTACAGGACGGGACATGTTGGTAAGTCAATTTTGAGATGAGAAATAACTGATGGTTTTAACCCGGCCGCTCTTGCCACTTTAACCCATTCGTTGTTTAACTTTCGGTATTGACTTTTAAATTCCTTCTCAGACGACTGACGATAAAGGGAAGCATCTTCAAGGTGCTTTTCCGTTATCTCAACATCTAACTGATGGGCAATTACAACGAACTCTCCACCCTTATCACTAGCCGATAGTCTTATGTTTTTTGATCTTATCAGCTCTCGTACCTCTCGCATACCACGTTTTTGTATTTCAGTGATGTTGGAGCAGTATCTTTTAGCGCGATAGTGATTAAGGACTTTGAAAGTTTTATTCGTAAACATCCGAAATTTAACATCGACTTCATTAATGGGCTCTTGTTGTCTAAAGAACGGTTAAGGAAATGGTGGTACTGGTATTGCCCCTACTCTTTGTTGTTCGCGCCTATTTTGCGCTTCATCCCTAGCTTTTTTGCGGAGTCTATCTTGAAGTTCATGTAAACTACATGCGACCCTACGCAAGGTTACTTTAGAAATGGGTTCAGATGGTGAGAAACTCGGTCCCAATTCTAATAACGAGCGCGCACCGTCAGAGAGGGTTATGCCTCCTAGCACGCTCAACCTTGAATTTCTTTGCACATTATTTATCTTACTGTGAATCGTTTGATCTCCGTTGGCGGTGTTTCTGTTTGCTCGAAGCCGTGTTATGCGATTTACTCAAAAAGGTCTTCGAATTTTCTCCGCAAAGTTACTTTAGCATTAGACCTAATAGATTATCCTTTTGGATCCAATATTATACCATGAACCAGGTTTGGAAAGCTGTTTGCTCACCTTACACATAGATAATGCAGGCTGCAGTGTGCAAGACGCGTTTTTCAAAATTGGTTCATCTGTCGACGTTGTCGACAAAAATTGGATCAGACGTGGCAAAACCGTCTCTCTTGATGAGTCTCGTCTTGTAGAGGTCGGTAAAATTGGCTAAACCTAGTTAGTTCGGTCGATTCGTTTTGCTGAAACCCATGACGGACTTATGGATAAAGAAGGCCATGTGTACACTGACCATTGACATACGAGGGTTCTTTGCCTAATGGCTCGCTCCAGAAAACGGAATTTGACTGTCTGGTGTAGGGAAGAAAAAAAAATGTCTCCTTAAACGGGTACCACAGGTGGAGCCAAAGAGATAATAGTTGAAGGCTGGAAAGGGTTGGAGTGGTGTATAAGGCGCTTCATTGAAACAAATAAAAGGATATTATTGGTATATTCATAATCTGTGATATGATTCTTCCGCGTACTTTCTGCTAAAGCGGAAAGCGAGCAGCATTTTTTGGGGATACAGGCGTCTAGGTGCCGTGGTATTTGCCCTCAACCAGAAAAACTAAATGAATCGCATGTTTTTCTTTCATGATGGTTTAGGTGCATACGATTTCTATTCACCGTAGTTTAGTTATATAACACTTTTTCTTCACGTGGCAAATTACAAGTATTTGGGAAAGGTCTGATGGAAGAGTGTAGATTCTCTGTTAAATGTACCTTTAGTGTTTTTAAAGATATTGTCGAAGGAACGAGACATGTTCTGTGTACCTGTGTCGAATTTCGGTGCATAGTTAGACCAGAGGTAACGTAGTAACTCTATCGCAGCTTTGATACCACTGAATCGATAGTGAAAACAAAGTCGCTATCTGGAGGCGAACAAATTCCTCCTGATAGCTGCTTTTTTCTGGACGTTACTGTCCAGAAGGAAGCTGCTTTCGAGCCGCGCGTAGCAAATCTCTTGTATTGCCGTTGTTGCTTTGGTACTATACCTAACTCAGAAAAAATTTGTACATTATTGGAAGTATTCACGAAGAAAGCGCATTAAGGTCAAAGCATATCTTCCATGGCGTTCTAAAAGAAATGCACATTGTCGCAAACGTGTTGAGACTGGCAATTCCACTCTAATAATTTCAATAAATCTAAAAGAGAAGATCTGCAGAAAGAGACAAGATCGTTTATGTTAACAGAGACCAGTGGGAGTGCCCGTACATCTCAAGCAGTTGCGGCGTTGCTAATAATGATAATGCTTTTCGCTGCTGTGGGTTTTGTTCTAGGTTGTGGTGCTATCCATCGTTGATTTCATTTTTTTTTTTTCAGAGAGAAACATGTTCTGCAGATGCAATTCTGGGAAACGCAGAGGTTTTTGGTCAATCTTATTTATATGTTGTTTTTGCAAATCTTTGATTACGAGTCTTTAGCTTTGCGATAGACACTGGAAGTGAACAGATGTGGACTGGACCTACATCAAAGCAAGATGCGAATCAAATGTTAGTATTGAGCCATTGAAGTAACTTCTCCCTGGGAGCAATTTCAATAATTTATTACTTGCATTGTAACAAGAGGTGATAATCTTCAGAATAGCAAATAGGACATCTCGTTTTTCGCGCCTACTGGAAGCCATTGGTCGACTTGCGCATGGCGACTATATGCTGGTCAATAAGAACGATGGCTTCATACGGATATTGAATAAAGCAGGAAATAGAACGAATCCGTAAGTTTGTGTTGAATAGAGGACGAGATTTGTTGCATTTAACAATAGCCACTACAAGAATTTCTCCCAATTTTGAGCAATCGTTCACTAGGGCTAGTGTGTGCGCGTGTGGTGCAGTGGTCAGAGGCGTCCTTTAATATGTGTGGGATCGATCCAAAGGCCCTTGCCCATCAAACCTTCCGTGCCTTCGAGGTCGGCAAACTGTTACCAGACTTGTCTGGAAGGATAGCAGCATTGACTTGATACATCGGTAAGTCACCGCGAGTCATTGTGTAGGCCAGTCACCTCTGAACGATGCTTAATGAAGTCGAATGCACAGCGCATTCCTCAGGGATTGATCAATGCCAGGAGCTTTATCCTTTTTTTGGACCTGGTGTACTTCTAGCGATAAACGGCGGGAGATGAACTATACAAAACCAAGATTGTGATGCTGGGGGTAGAACTGCTGTAGCAGTATGACCATAGTTGGCTTAAAGACGGAGTAGAAATTGCTTCTAGTGTGCAAGAATCAGTTATTTGACACATTACCATAAATCATAAGTCGATTTTGGGTGCAAACTAATGTGGTAAAAGGTGGATACGACATTATTGGTTTTATACTCTCTTCTTCGGACCTTAGACAATTTTTTTGATTTTCTTTTCAGGGCTGGTATTCTGAAGTGCAGTGATCGCAGAATATTTGTGTGTAAACCAAAAACGCTATTTTGTGATGCGTTTAATGGTCTTGAGCCGGTGATACCGCTGATGTGGCAAGTTAGTGATGATTTGCAAACTTTTTTAAATACTGGTAAAAGGGCACTCATAAATGGAGTGAGTAGAATCTTTTTATCTTCTGTTGATTTTAATTTTCGTTCCTTTCCTCTCAAAAAAAAATTCGTTTTTTTCACAGTTTGTTCAAAGCCGTGCACCAGGTTGCTACGTAGCTCCAGACAGTAAACTGAAACTGATTGCTCAGATACCACTTCCAGATAGCTCCATTCTTGCGGTAATTTTCTCATTTTGTCTGACACTTTGTCTTCAAAGATGGTGACCATAATTTACATACTCTTAGTTGGTGACATGTTGGTATGTAGTGTTAGGAGAAGTTTATTGACACCTCGTATTCAAATACAGGAGATGCGTGAGTGATTTTCTATTTCGCTGTTTTCTTAATGAGCAAACACTATATTGTCATTAGAGCACTTACTAATACAAGAAACCTGATGTTTCAGTGACTTTCCCTTTTTTAGAGCCTGGAAGGGTCGAGTTGACCCCCAATCTATTCGGTCATACGCTTTCATAACCTAGTCAGACATAACGTAATACATAAAACCACAACGATGCTGAGGTATTCGCAAAACTAGGGGGCCTTGGCCAGATCGGACCACAATTTCCCTTTCTGTGGTTCACCAATTACACACTGCTCCACGGAGGTCTTTGCTCTGCGTTTCTCTCAGCTACTTTTCTACCTAACGCTGCCATCTGCATTCACCCGTCAACCTCTGGAAAGGTAATCGTGATTCGATCTGGCCCGAGATCCAAGTTATGCGAATATCTAAGCATCGTTGTGGATGTAATTCACATCATACTCTCCGTGAAAAATTATAGTAGGAAGAAAGTAAAAGGCTAGCGTAGTACATAAATTTCCATTCGAGCACTAAACAACTTTTAAACACTCACAATTTTATTCATTGTGAACCTTCCAGTTGTTTCGTGGAGACCAACCACGCAGAGCTTTATAGAGACCACAACATTAGGGAGTAAAACTCTTGAAGTATTTCGGATAAGTTTCGAAAATCCAAAAATGAACCGCAAGTACGAGTGTCTGGTGTCCACGCATAACCTGTCGCCATAGCTCAGGCCGATTTTTTGACCAATGCTGGGCGCATTGCTCACCCATCTAAGACTGGGCGGCTGGTCTTCAACAAATACTAACCTGGGCCCATACTTTGCCTTTCTCTCAGCCAGTGTTTACCGTGCTGTGCTATCACCTCAGCTATCACACATCAGCAAGAGTGATCTGAGGAGCACAAATCTGCATTGAACCAAATTAATCCAGCTTAACGTGTGCCGCTGGTAACGGTAATCGCTGATCCGATGTGCACCCTCATTGTGGTTTCATTTCACGTAAAACTCGGCCATGAAAGAATATATAGGCGATAAATAAAAAGTTAAACATTGAGAAAACAATGAGTGTTTAAAAGAAAATGTTTGTGTAACGTTTTTCTTTTCTGCCTTCTATAATTTTCATGGCAGGTTACTAAGCGAAATACAACCACAACGTTATGGTTCTAACTGGGTTCTATGCCGATTTGCGCTCCCCAGATCAACCCCGCTGACGGGTGATTGCTGTGGCAAAAAGATCGATAGAAATAGCTGAGAGACAGGCGAAACGAAGGACCCGCATGGTGTGGTGGTGAACGCGTTACTCTCCGGAAAGGACAATAGCGCGTTCGTTCCCCACCATAGACACCTGCGGTCCAGAAAATGTTTGTTTTGGTGATGAGAATTTATTCATTAAGTTTTATCTGTTGTGATCATTAAAGTATTTGTCTGAGTAGATTGCGTGTCAGTGTGAACTTTCGAGGCTCTGAAGAAGACGAAGCCTCCGAAACGTCAGCTATTGTGAAAGAATAGAAGATGTAATAACAAACTCGTGTTTGCTCATCAAGAAAACTGTATTATTGAACTTGTGATCAGTGTCGAAGTGAAAGGATGTCGATCCTGTGTTCTTCTAACAATTAGTTAAAATTTTAGCTTTTGCAAGCAATTACGTCTATGTTTTGTGACAAGTGCTTAAAGACGTACTAACCTGAAGACATTAGTTTTTCGAATGGAATAGTAGAAAGTGCGTGAGCTGAAAAACTAAGTTCAATGCTCGTGGCGTTCCGGATGTCATACGTTTGAATGATAATAATTCATTTCAGGGCTATGAAATACACACGAGGGAAGAAGAGGGTCGTTACCAGAAAAGAATGGAGGACGTTTCCAAGGACAACTTCAAATATCGAAGTACTGTTTTAAAAGTTTTCGTCGTTCTCATAACCAGAGTTCACTTGTAATCGTGTGATTCATCGAGGAACTCAACTGGGCAGCTGTGAGGCAGAAATTCTTTTTCTTTTTCGTCGCGCGACAGAGCCGATAACTGCGCTTCGTTTGCTCATGTGACATAAGTAGAATCATATTCTTCTTTTTTTATTGCTTTTTGCGAGAAAGTGATCGTGGGTAGCTCGCCGGACTGTGCAGCAGTTTAGATCTACCGTTCGATCCCGCCTTCTGTATATCACGGTTCGCAATCCATTGGGATTATACAGATTATGAGACAAAGTTATTCTCTCAATTTTAACACTTTTATGTTCGTAGGGTTAACTGGATTTATCAGTGTTCTTTGAGGATGATAACAAGCTGTTTTTTAGGTCCGTATAAAGTTTCATTACCAACTGCGGAACGTGGAGGTCGGTTAGTGCACCAACGATTTGATAATTCAACAGAGCCGAATTCTTCGGTAGATAGCAGTGCCTCATCACCTTGGCGATCTCCGGAACGCCTCCATATAGACGATTAAGCAAAATAATAAAAGGATAAGATTCGTTGATTATAGATTGTGTCGTGTTCCATGTACATGTTAAATTTGAATTGCAACTGGTGCTCACCACAACTACTTCAGTTTCCATCCTCGTTTGTGCTATCCGCTACTTTTATTTTCTACCTTTGAAATTGTTCAAATCGAGCTCCGGTTCCATATTCTTCAAGGTTTTGTTCGGGTCTTATGCTGTGAAAACATAAAGTCTGTAGAGTTGGTACTTTTGACATCATCCTAGTGTCACTTATATTAGCATGATTACAGTAATCGAATGCGCAGCTGAATTTCATCTCTTACTGAGGACACCAAACCATAATAGTCGGGTATTTGCACTCAGAAGACAGTGTAAAGAGCATACCAACCTATGACTCCTTCATCCAAATGGATCGCGCTGTTTGACGTGACCACCTGAGATCTTCAGTCAAAGCTGCGAACTTAGATATAGTGTTCGATGTTGATTAGTACCTGAGTTATTATGCAGTACTCATCAATCTGTGTAGTTGATAATAGCGAACTACCTTCTGTCACCAAATAGTAGAGGTAATGCGCGAAGAAGGGTCTGTAAATTTGTTTCCAGCGAAATCAGAGCCATACTCGGAACGGTTAATTAAAACGGAATTAAGTGTGAGATAAGGAAATAAGGTCGAAGTGACAAAGAAAACCACTTCCTTCGGTTCTTTTCTTAGTACACCTTTTCCGCCGATATTCATTTCTCGAGGAGAACACGGGGTGCAATCACATCTCGAGCAGATGAAGATGGCGCTTCGCCGACACCGTAATATCACCATTCTATGCTGGATCCGACCGCTCCCTTTTCTGTGCAAAGTTTGAATTTAGCCTTGAGTTGAATAAGAGCTCTTGCCATACGCCGAGAAATGAGCAATGACGTATTATGATGACAGCGTGAACTAACTCCTTTCCTCAAATAACTTGCAGATTGAATAATACTCGACCGAAGACAGCGAACTGTTCATTGAACGAAAATGAGAGACTAGAAATAGATCAAGCTGATAGATTTCTAATATGGCTTGTAGCACTTTCGAAATGAAGATTTTTTGGAAAAGTTATGACATCCACATCGGAAGAAGAACCTATCCAGACTATTTATTTATGTGATCTTATAAACTGATCTTCTTAAGCTGACGCCTCGCCTCTGTACCAACCTCGCGTCAGCTTAAGAAGATCAGTTTATAAGATCACATAAGTAAATATATCAACTATCTATGCCGAGGTTTATAGAAAGTCGGTCTTTCGAGTTATCCAGACTATCTCTGCAGAAATACTATCCTAGTGTCTTCTTCTACTTGGAAATGTAGATTGGCTCGATTTAGCGCTCTGAAGGCCTTACTGTTTTTCAATTAATTTCAATAAGTGTTTATGTCAAGCATACCTGGTACTTAGACCATCCGTCCTCACGTGGCGTGCCGTTCCAGCTGTTCCATCGTGCATTTCTTTGTCCTGCAATCGTCATCCATGACACTGGTCGCACTGCTGTTCTAGTGTAAATTCAGCTGTGTCTTAAGAACTTTGAAGATGATGCTATATATGAATAGAAAGAGCCTGCGCATGTCACGAAAAAGTCAAGCGACCTTTTTGGACGTCTCTCACGAGTTCATTTCCTTTGTGTCGATACTACTCGAATGTTCTCTTGGTCCAGCTGTCTTCTCATTATGCGACCGGTGCATCGACGATCACGCCTGGAGACGTAGTCGCCGTGTCTCGAAAACGGCATGAAAAATGGATATCTAAACACAAAAATCAAGTTTCTATTAACTGCGTTCATTTATCGCTGAAAAATCGACTAAGTACTTTGGGTGCTAAACTGCTGGTCCTCATTTTTCGCAAGCAATTCTACAAGTAATTATATAATTCAAGTATGCATTCAGTTTTCTTCATAGGAACCTCTTCACAAGCAGCGCCTCCATGCCTCCTCTAACGCCAGTCTTTACACACATTAACTTATCCTACAATAATTCAAAAGACCGGCTTTCAATAAACCTCGGCATAAATAGTTGATATATTTAATTATATGTTCTTATAAGATGATCCTGTTGAACTGATGCGAGGTTGCTATTGGTCTTCGTTGTCGTTGTTGTTGTTGTTGTTGTTGTCGTCATTGGTCGATGGCTGACGTTTCGGCGCCTTTCTCGGAACACTGCTGTTATGAGTAGGACCTACTCAATCCGGCAACACCAACGACAATGACAACAACAAACAACAAACAACAACGAAAATGAAAACTTATACCAACTTCTCGTCAGCTGAGCATCATTGGTTTGTAAAAGGATAGAAGGATAAAACTCCCGGCGTTGATCAATACCTGAGGGATGCGCCATGCATACTGCATTAAGTGCCACTTCATTAAGTATCGTTAGAAGTAATTGAATTCATATCGGGCCTTTACAATGACTCGCGGTGGCCTGCCGATGTATCGAGCCAGTGCTGCTATCCTCCCAGACAAGTCTAGTACCAATCTGCTTACCCTATAGGATGGAAGGCTTGGTTGGTCATGGGCGTGGGGATCGATTCCACGTTTGTGCCGCAGTGGCGCCTCCAACCACTGCGCCACACGCACCCTCATTTTATAGGATCATGTAAATAAATATACTACAATAACCTCAATGATGCTGGGCTATTTATTATTTACTGAACACATTTTTTGATTGCAGGGTAAATTGCGAAGTATAACTTCAATGATGCTGAGATCTTTGCAAAAACTCCGGACAGCAGATGTCTACGGTGGGGAACGAACGCGCTGTTGTCCTTTCCGGGTAGCAACGCGCTCACGACCACACCATGCGGGTCCTTCGTTTCACCTGTTTTCCTACATTGCTCCACTAAACATAATAGAAAACGTGATTCTCTATCGGTCAGAACAAGTTATTTGTTTATACTGTGCTGATCTCGGCGATAGATGAAGCAATGAGCCCCTCTTCACCGTGTCCATCATTTTAATGTGGTCGATCGTTTGAAATGGTGATATTTCCAGCTCGCTTGTTGGTAAGCTTTAACTGAAGTGGTTTGGTGATTTGTGACTGCTTGAGGATTCTGAATTTTTAGGACAATTTTCTCGTAATTCTTGTCGTTGTCGTTTTGTTTCATGATTTTAAGTTCGTGACGAGTGAAGGAGCCGATGATGGATTTAATACGGTAAGTGTCTGAAACAGTCCTCATCACTAAAAGGTTATATAGGAAAATGAGCAGAATAGTCGCTTCGAGATCGAACCACAGGTTGTGGCCAAACCAGGGTTAGAACGTCCGTGGTCAGAGTAAAGGATAAAAAGGGATAAAACTTATGAAACGTTCGACGTTGATCAATCCTTTTGTGCATTCGACTCTATGAAGTATTATAGAGGTAAATGAATGCGTATTTACCCATACAGTAACTTGCGAGAGCCTAGAAGTGAATCAAATGAGCGTTTGTGTCCTTTTAGGCAAAACGGCTACCATTACGCTGATTTCGGAGGAATGAATAGTTTTGTTAGATAAGTTCAGTATCGAGCCAATGAACATGTCCGTGATAGCAGAGCCAATAATTACTGCCCTACGCACGACGTCGGCGTTCAGAGAGGGAGATAGAGATAAATGCAGCCCGTGCACTTGTGGAGGTGGATCAACGATGTCAGCTCACATTTGATAGCACCCTTCACTACGATCACAGTGGATCGATGGTGGAGTGGATAGCAGATGAGCCTCGGAAAGGGTAATCGCAAAGTTCGAAACCCAACTGAGTTTCCGAGTTTTGCTCATAGCTCAGCATCTTGTGACGATTGTATTCCAAAACAATAACGATCTTATCACAAAACAAAGCAATTATACACCTGTTAAGCAACAGTTCCTTTTCATGATCTATTCCTCCTAATATATTTACTGTAACTTCAGGAGGATGTCATGACGTGTTTCAGAACGAAAAATGAACCAAATGGTACAATGGGTACGTTACCTAAACCATTCAGTAAAAATCTGAGACAACAGAAGTTGTAGTTCAAAATGAAGAAAAATCTTGTCACAGAAAAACCTTTGGTTTTGCTGATAGAGCGCGAAGACAGAGATAGCGCATTTTTGTTGAGTGAAACTGGGAAAAGATGACTTGAAATGATTTCTTTCCACATTGATGCCATTGTCATGGTCTACGCTAACTACTGAGTTACCACTGGCTCATCTTCACTCCGAACTTGAAATAAATGACTGGATTTACTCGCATTCATTTTTTCACTCACATTTTCTCACTCTCATTTGCTTTTCATTAAAGCCCTACAGCGACAATTACATCAGTGTGGTTTCATTACTCTGTTTTCAGTGATGGGCCTTACACAAAACTGTTACGTATTCTATGGTATTATGCCAGATGTGCATAGTTTGAGTGATTACCGAATACTGGATCTGAAATCGGACAGCGGAACAGCATGCAGAGAGAAGCAAGTGTTTCTAGTGAGAGCTGTATGTTTTCAAATGTTAATAGTCCTCCGGTTAGGTGCGGGAAGTACAGTGGTTAGTGGTGCAGTGTAATAGCACATGAATAGCTGCTGGCGCGACTCTTCTCTTAACCAACAAAACCTTTTCTGGCTCAACAAATTAGTAACAAACTTATCTGCTAAGCTCCTTCTAATTCGCAATGCCTGACCATGGACTTTGATGAAGATATGGAAACGCGCTGACATCGTTACCACAGGACCCTACGGAGCTTATTACTCCATCAGCATTCAATGACGTTTGTGAAGGGATCGAAATGCTTATGTGACAAAGGATCCGCACGAAAAATCCGAAGCTGTTCTCGGATGACCGATATGAATAACCGAACCAAACAATGGAAGTGCTGGAGTACGACAACAAAAATTTGGAATTCATGAAGAAGGATAAATCAGTAAATGTATTAATTGGCCTTCCTAATGTGTCTAATTAATGGTTAGGTGACCTGTTCCCACTTGTAGTTTGGGCCTCAACACTTCCATTCGTTTCGTTGTCATGTTACCTTACTTCGTAGAGGTTGCTATGTTCGCTTTTGGTTTAGGCTTGAATTCGTTGTTTCTTTCTTTTTACTGGCATGTTGAATGCTAGTCAAGCATTTTCTCTGGAATTCAACGATATACGCTCTAGGACGGTCTTCATGCTACTCTTGGACAGTAGGAATTTCTACCACTTTTGGTCCAACTGTCTAGGATAATGTCAATAGGGCAGAATTCATTCACTTAGTGTACTGAGAAAGAAAGGAGGAAGGAGAAAAAGGAGGAAAGCAAAAGATATGCTTCTTGAAAGTAATATAGGGATAAATACAACGTGGTTGTATATGAGTAAATTTCTTGCGGAGGTATCAAGCCAATTTTCAACTGCTCGTCAAGCAAGAAACGATACACGAATCATTTTCCATCTTCCAAATACGTTTAGTTAAAGAAGGTTAGTTTGGTTGTCATCAGTTCCTATGTGAGCCGTATCTTTCTAAGAAAATGAATTTCCATGCAAGATGCGTACTTTGGACAACAGCTCAACAAGACCGTTTCTACTTCTTTTATTTCGGTACATTATTCCAAGTTCTATTAGCCTTCCCCAAATCGGAGTTGAAGTCATCGCCGAAAAGTTTGTGGTATGGGTTTTGCTTGCTGATTATCTTTTCAAACTGATGATAGAACGAATCTTGTCCACTCTCATATACTACACATGTTGTTGAGAAGTAGCCGATAATAGTTTCTATGTAAATTTATGACCTAAAGAAGAACCTTATGATCGACGTTGGAAGAGTCCCTTCTGCTGTTGTTGATACAGAGCAAGATACAATCTCCATAATGTCTCGTCCAGTTGTTGCTTGGATTCGGTTTTCATGACATTCTGTGCAATCGAGGTTTGATTTTGCTTCTAATCGGTTTTCTTACCACCCGGCGTTTACAAGATACCAGTTTACAGGCACTGATTTTGTCGGTTGAGGTTCTAGCGATTTGTTTGTCATCCTTGGAGTCTCAATCCAGCAGCCTTAGCAGCGTGTTCTCATGTTCTATCACACATCTTCGGAAGTTGTCCGTTAGAAGGAACTCTGCCCTTTGTGACAAGGCTGATACATGGAACACCGCAATCGCGTCTATACTTATCTGGGTTTTTGGCTCGTAATTTTGAACTGCTCGGTGTAAGAGATTCTCTTACGGAATAAACTTCTCGTTGTTCCACATAGTGCTCAGAAGTCAGAAGTACCTCCGAGCAGCTATTGGGTACTAAGCCATCATAAAAATATTGAGTGTTCTATCAGGTTGCTCAGTACGCTCTTCCTTTTCCCGTACGTCTCACTTTTCGATTTTTAGTTTGGAGACGAGCAGACGATGATTATCCTTGTCGATAGATATGGGAAGAAAGTTCGTGTTCAATCGGCCTTCAGGTGAAACTCACGGCATAAAATGCTTCCCTTGAATTTGTTCTACACTACTAGTAATATACAACATTTCTATACCAAGAAAATTATTAATTCAAAACCAGAACAAGTTTTAAAAGCTTCCATACTATGCGATTATAAATTGGGCCAAGCGATGCGTCTTGCGACATCCAGCCCACCACAACAACGCCCCAAGGGGAGCTTATAACCCAGTCTATATGTGTAACCCTCGTTGCAGTAAAGTACCAGTGTACACGCGATCTAAAACAGGAAATTTTATCTGGCATTATGTTAACCCAAAGAACAGAGTGGAACAATTCTATTCGAATAACGTGGATCCAGGTAATGAAAAAACAGATATTGATAGTTCCTTTCAATCACATTCTCCTTTACGAAATTTTAGGATTTACCATCATTGGATTTCATTACTTCAAGCGGCGTGTACTTGTTTACGCTACCAGTCATGAGGCTGTAAGGTAATTATTATTTTATCCTTAATACTTTGAATCCGCGTGTGGCGCAATGGTAAGAGGCGCCCTGCCCTACAAATGAGATTGATCCCAGCGCCCCGACCCCACCAAGTCTTCCATCATCCCTCTGAGGTCCATTGGTACCAGACTTGCCTGGGAGGATAGCAGCACTAACTCAATACATTTGTAGGCCACCGCGAGTAATTATAAAAAGGCCAGATATGCATGCAATCACCTCCAACGATCTTTAATTAGGTCGAATGCATGGCGCATCCCTCAGGAACTGATCAATCCCGAGAGTTTTGTCCTTTATCCTTTTACCATGAGCCCGAAAAATGCTTCAAAAGCTCTAGATTGACACGTATTCTCGAAAGTTTTGTTTTCATCCTACCGTATCTATCTAAACAAACTAGAGAGGCTTACATTAACAAGCAAGTCCTCCCAATGTTGGATTTAATTTTGAATAACCTAACGAAAAATTTCCTTTCAATATGGAGTTTTCACGAGAGTGGGGGCTGGGGTAGCGTAGTGAGTGACCAGTGGTGCAGTCGATCAAGTAACAAGGCGCTAGTTCGACCGTTTCCTAACGCTCTATCCAACCCACGTGGGAATGTCTTAGCTGGACTGTCTCTGAGACTGGAAGCAGAATCAACTGGACAAGCATCCTATTGCGTCCGTAAGGAAGATGAAATTCTGGAGAAGCAGCAGAAGCAATGCACAAAATGTTCAAGGACCATTGTGGACGATGGATATGAGGCAAACAAATGGAAGCCAAGGAGTGCGTTTTTAACATTCCATCAATCAAATGTGGCCGAGGTTCGCGTTTACAGATAGAGCGATATGTTAGTAATTTTTTGAAAATGCTATTTAACATAATCCAACATCATATTTTGCGATTCCCTGTAGTTTTTTCATTCGATTGCCTCACATTCATCGATAGATGCCTTCGGATTTCAAGCGTGCTTTTCGCTTCTATTTGACCGCTTTATCCCCTTCATGAATCTCATTAGTTGTTAGTATAGTTGATTTTTCTTGGGAACCTGGTATATTCAGACTAGCTCTCTTCGATCGAAGTGGGCTCCTAAGCAGATCTGATATCAATTTCCTAATCTCGGAGAGGTGGGAGCCTTCGTTGGCTTGACCGAGGTCGAACCAGAGCTTGTGGATACTGAACTGCGTATAAAAACCACTATTCTATCCAGACCTCTGTATAGTTGTTGCCTACTACCATATCTAAGGTGATTAATTTTGAGTTCAAAATTTATTTTAGGTTCTATGACTTACGCATACACGCTAGAAGGAGTTATATAACGCCCTACCTTGAGTTCTGTAAGTTCCTAGTATTTTTTGCTAAATCCACACTGGAAAAACGTCGGCCTACAAAAGCTAATAACTGTAACAATAGTAATAATGTTGACAGTGGTAATAATAATAATGTTTAACGTTTGTTTTCTGCCTTCTATAATTTTCACGACAGGTTACTAAGCGAAATACAACCACAACGTTGCTGAGATATTTGCAAAACTCTGGACCGCAGGTGTCTATGGTGGGGAACGAACGCCCTATTATCCTTTCCGGGGAGTAACGCGTTTACCACCACACCATGCGGGTCCTTCGTTTCGCCTGTCTCTCAGCTATTTCTATATTTTGCCACAGCAATCACCCGTCAGCGGGGTTAATAATAATAATAATAATAATAATAATAATAATAATAATAATAATAATAGTAATAATA